GTTTGATAAACCTGTGTTTATCAATACCTATGGACCCCTGCTGGAGCTGGGTATGAACATGACCAGCAAGAATCAAAAGTGGGGCTGTGCCCTGCCTGAGCCCTGCCTTCCTCCAGTGAAGCCTGGAAACTCTCTGAGGGAACACTGTTGAGCTGACTGAAGGTTCTCAGCTCTAGAAATGCAACATGGAGAAAGCAGGAAGAAACTGGGCAGGAGAGCTCTCAGGAAATAGAGGTCCTGCTTCTGTCTGAACAGTTGAAAACGGACGAAGATTCTATTTTCCCAAAGTATAATGGGATTAGGCTAGGGGAAAGGGAGGTGCCCTGAGGAGAGAATATTGCTGTGCCTAATTAAACAGGAAGCAATTTATTATTGTTTAACATGTTGGTCAGAGATCTATGGTTGTCCATGCCTAAAAACAAACTTGAGATTCTGGATAGTCCTGAAAAATCTCAAGCATTGGTTTCAAAGATCTTCCCTTTTGCCAGTCATTTGACTCCCTTATAATAGACAATATCAGCACTTAGCATGACATCTGAGTTATCATCCTAGTCTAAACTGATTTCTCTTTGATCTATGATGAAAGCAGACTAAGTGGCCTGACTGATTAATGATCTGTATATCCCCCCCTGCCAGACAAGGGGGCTAATGGACATAAAACCTGCTGCCGTTGCTGAATTACGATTTATACACGGGAAGATTCCATGTGTTCAGCTTGCATCCTGAGGGAGATCTTGTTCATCCACTGATTTACAAAGAGCAGAAGGCCATTAATGAAGTATTTTAAGCAAGGTGTTTTGCAGGAGAGGGATGGGGGGATACAAGAAACACCTGCTATTGCTAGCTTTTAGTAGTCTCACCAAGCTCAGGTGATGTTTCTGCCTCTGCAGCTCTTTGCTCTTGCCTCTTTTCACTCTCATCTAATCATGTGCTGAGATGTTCAGGGCAGAATCTCTCCATATATTTGATGTACACCTTAGCGCGTGGGTTGTGCTGGGTTAGCAGGTGGGCCCAATGATACTGGAGGTCTTTTCAAACCTGAAAGATTCCATTATTGTGATTGACTATCCTCTACATTGACCCTGCTTGAATGGCTTTTTCCATTGACTATTTCTCTTTCCATTTTCCATCCCAAAAATGGTATCAGATGGTTACTGCAGCACACATGGGATTGAATTTCCTCTCTCTGCAGGAGAGGTACCTGTGGTATTCTGTTCYGTGGTGAGTTCTGTGACTGTGTAAAATACCTTATCAGCTGAAAGTGCAGACTAAGATGTGTGTTACCACAGTGGAACTGAAAGGTAACCTAATGTTTTATCCCTTCATTATATTTGTTTTGTTAAGTTTAGATACAAAATGCATGTACTGGGTACATGTGTATAAATATCAGAAAACTGTAGTGAAATAGATGTAGCTTGCTGTAATCCTTTTAACGATTGCTCTGGAAATCTTAGAAGTGAATGGAAAATACTTTTTTTTTTTTTTTTTTTTAGAAGAGACTGAACTGCAGTTCTGATTCAGCATCTAATGCTGCTTCCTGTTTCACCTAAAACAACTAAAGTGTTTTAAAATAACAGAAAAAACCAAATTCCTCAGAAGGCTTGAAGATTGGGTCATGGTATAGTCACATATATATTTACTGTATTTTATGCTCTTTCCCAAGGTTTACTTGACATGTTTTATGGCAGGAGTAGTCTATTCAGAAATGATAAAGCACTTGCTTCATTTTTATTTTCTACTGAAACATCTCCGTGAAGCGGCATATACTAGAAACACAGTTTGCTGCAAAGTTGGCTTAATGGTCTTCAATTTCTGTTTACTTCCATTTAGTTTTCCTATGGAGAATGAAAATGACTGGTCTAGCCAAGGCTGGGAAGATTTTCCCTGGGCTAACAATGAGCAGAAAACTGAGTTACTGAAGTGCTGGAATTCTTTCCTTGATGTCAGTTTAACTGACTCAGTGGCATAAAACAAAATTAGTAACGGTTCAAGTGCGTAATCTTTCCTCTGTTTAGAACTTCCCTGACAAATACTTATTATTTGGCTAACAAGGAGTAATTAAGCTTCTGCAAAGAGGACTGAGAGAAAAGTGATTGACCCCTTAAGGCTGAGCCTCAGCAGGGTCTAACTAAAGCTCCTTCCTGAAACTGTGAGTCACTCTGTGAGACAGAGCCAGTTTTCCCTCCCTTCAGTCATGCTTTTAATTATGGTGAGGAAACAAAATTAGAATAAGCATAGATTTAAAATAAAGTTGCTGAGCTCTCAGACAACTTTCAGGAAAAGCAGAAGTATGTGAAGTTGCATCAGAACTTGCTTTTGTACCCTGTAAGCAATTTAGGGTTTATGTAGTGCTATCAAGGGTTTCTCGGTTAAGTGTGATTGCTGTTAATTAATGTTTAATAGATTGCACTTCAATCTTATCTTCMAAGGTTCAGCATGTGAAGTCTTTGATAAGCAAAGATCCAGACTAGCACATCAAAATAGAAGGGTTGTTTAAAATAACTCACACTTTGGGTGCGGATGCAGTTAGTCCTATAACTTTGTTAAAGCTATTTTGGGTAAGTATAAAAAAACAAAGGTTTCATTTCACAGCAAGTTTGTCTGCATATGAACTTCACTTTAACTGGTTTTGCCCTGTTAGTTCAATCCTATAAAAACCATTTTAAATATGAGTATGACTATATAAAATAATGTACTGGATTTATGCATAACTTGTAAGTATCCTTTTGATTAACCTACCAAGTGCTGGAGCAGCTGAGACTTGTATAAACCACTCATTTTAATGAAACATTTAAGCATGGACTGCTAACCTAGTGACTTATAACTATTTATATTCTGAGTGGAAAACAAATCCTGTTCTGGCAAAGGATTTTAGCATGTCATTTAAATCAGAAATTACAGATGCCAGCAAAAAGAATGAAGAGAAAATGAAAGGCAGCATACCGGGTTTTAGTGGGTTTTTTTTTTGTGGAGGTCTTTGGTTGTTTTTTTGTTGTTGATTTTTACAACATTTGGGCATTTTGTTTCAATTTAATTTTTCCACTCTATTGTTTTTACCAAAAATCCAAACTGCCAAAAAATTTCTGRACGCTGTTCAAAGCAGAGATGAAGTCCCTACCATTAGAAGATTCATATGTGAACTACATTAATTGCTTTTCTTCAGTGACTTTTCACAGAATCTAACTGTATTTTAATGCACTTTAATTAGGGTGCTCTGTGTTTATTGGTGACCTTGTGGGTGCTCAGCTACCAACTTACCTGCATATATRAAAGTTGTCTCTTTCCTTCTAAAATGGAATAGCCGTGTTCAAATTTGGGAAATGCTAATGTATTTCAAGATGGCAGATGTTTCTAATATTAGCAGTCATAATGTTAGCAAATCAGTTTTATTAGGAAATTTAATCCAAATAATTTTGGATGTTAATCATATAGTTCACACTATCCATCTTGAGAAAAATAACCATAAATAATTGGTTGTGGATTCCAAAGTCCTGAGTAAATTATGGAGAAGAAGATTAAGAAAAAAGAGAGGGGAAAAGGCTGTTAGGATCTGTTCAGTGAATGAGGCAGGTTGTGTTTGACAATTGACTGTGCTACTGGGAGGCTATAACATCTCTAAAAGATATCTCTGAAGAATAAAAATTACCTATTCACCACATACAGAAAACCAGTCTAGATTATCACCAATGGGAATTACAAGCACAGTGGACTTTGCTGTCTGCTCATCTGTCCTGGTCCTGGCCAGAAGCCCGTTGTACCTGGAGGATCAGTGATCTGTGCAAGTTAGGCCTGGGAGTTCCCAGCTCGTGCTGAGCTGTGCTGTCTGTCCAGCCTGGCCTCGAGGCCCACAGGGGACAAATTTCCCAGGCTTTTTGTCCCAGAGGAGTTYGAGGGCACCTCCTATGTGGTACCTGTGATTACACCCTCTGCATGCCGTGTCCTGGACCTGAAACTGGCAGCAATGGGTTTTGGTGAGAACATCCTTTATGTTTGGCAGTATGTAATAATGGATAGAGCTGTTTCCTTGTAAAATCCTGTGATAGCTTGAGTGACCAAAATGGTGTAACTTTTCCATGGGCAGGACYTGCGTGACATGGCTGATACTGCACAGCCCAGGGTTCCTGAAGGAATGTAAGGTTATCTACACTGTTCTCTCCAATAAAATACCATTTATTGCAGCCAACATAAATGGCACTTAAGCATCTGAGTGCCACTTAAGCATCTGAGTGCCTTTCATACTGGACTCACAATAAACCTGGTACAAAAAAGTCACCAAACTGTACCTGCTAGAACTATTTCACTTGGAGTGGTACTTTTGTTCTGATGATGCAATTGGCTGAAGACTAAAATTGGGCAAAAGTTAATTGTTTATCCCTCTTGTTGATTATGTGGTTTGAGTTTGGACCTTAAGGTTTCTGCCTAAAATCCATGAAAATTAAACCTTGTGGGCTGTGTTCTGCAAACGATGGTCACATACAGTGTTCAGAACAAGATAYGTGGATTCAATACTGACAGAAAATGGTGAGCTTTGCCATCAATTGTAATAAATATTGCATCCAAGACTCTTATTTCTCAGCCTTCATCAGTCAAGTTTTGCACCTTCTGATACCTGGCCCATACTCACCATTTCTCACCTCTTCTTACACATTGTCCTTTTCTGCAAAATAAGCTCACAGAAAATCTATCTAGTGGCCCATCACAAGGACAAGACCGCTTTCTTTACTCTCTCAGTTGAGGAGAAAACCCTGAACACTATTTTAATAATACTGGAGAATGCTAAAATGACAAATGTTAATTTATTCATCCACGTTACAGCGAGCCACCCGAAATAAAGTGAAAGGGACAAAACCTTGCACTTGTCCATTTAACCGCATGCGTTTCCTAATACGAATAAATAGCAGAAGTGCCACAGCAGAGAAAGCTTATGAAGGCGGGAGCTGCGCCGCCCCGGAGCCGCGCGCGCCCGCCTCGAGCGGCGGTCAGCGGGGCCGAGCCGGGGCCTCGCCCCCGGGGCCGGCGCAGGCCGGGCCACAGCGGCGGCGGGCCGGGAGCGCGCCGGCCATGGTGGGGCTCAAGGAGGAGCTGCTCAAGTCCATCTGGCATGCCTTTACCGCCCTCGACCTCGACCGCAGCGGGAAGGTTTCCAAGTCTCAGCTCAAGGCAAGCGAGGGGTAGCGGGGCCGGGCCCCGCTGGGGTGCGAGGGGCCAGACGCGTCCCGGACGGGCACCGCCGGGCGCCTCCGCCGCCGGCACGGGGCGCCGGCCGGGACCTGTCCGGAGCGACCGCCTCGAGTGGAACACGGGCACTCTCTTTCGGGGCTCTCCTGGGCGCTGTGAGTCGCGTTTTCCCCAGCGGGACTGCGGTTCGTCCCGCGGCGTCGCTGTCTCCGCGGGTCCCCGACGCCTCCGTCCCGCGGGCGGCTGGCGCGGACCCGTCCTGGTGCCCGGGCAGGCTGATTTTCATTCTGCCCAGGCAAGCGCTCCGTCCTCCCCGAGATGTCAGTGCACAAACCCTTGTGCTTCTGGTCCGCTTTCAACCTCATGTCCTTGCTACCCTTTCTGGCCAAAATCTTTTGTGGGGGTAGCCACAAGATCCCATCTATAGGGGTTGGCTGCGTCCGAGTGATATTCACAGCTTGCCAAGGGGAGAGAGAGGTTCCACAGTGCCCTCTTACTTGGATATAAACAGGAGAATTAGTCAAGAGGCTCCAACTGTGGCATTCTTTCCTTAGCTTATACGCTGAAGTAGTGTTTGTGCTCTTAAAAGAGTTCTCAGGCAGCTCGCTGAATCCAGTCCCATCTTGGCCCTGCTTTATGGGACCGTCTTGGCCTGGGAATAATAGCAGGAATCTGCATAAATAAATATTTTGAATAAGAATGCAACACCTGTTGACATTCGAGACTGTGGGTCCTCGTGCTCGGTGCTGGGGCTGCGTAGGCCACAGCAATTAGCCGAGATTTGTGCCTTTTGTGCCTTTTGTGCCCGTGCTATGGGTGGTATTTCCAAGCGTGGCTGGTCGTTAATGAACTTTTGTTTTAAGCACTATGTAATGAGGGTCCAGAGCAGGCAACATATTGCACGCAGCCTGTTCCTCTTCTCCTTTTTTTTTGCTGAGGTGATCGGGCTGTGAGAGAGAGCTGAACTCGGCCAGAAGTGACCACGGGCAGGAGTCGGGCCGAGGTGCCAGACCTGGCTGTGAGCCTAAATTGAAAATGTGCAGGTCCCGGGCTTTTTACAGATGCTGTCAATGGAAATGAGGATTTGTGTTCCAGTGATGCAGGACTAACTAAAATAGGTTGCAGAGAAGCTTTTTTTTTTTTTTTAATTGTCCTGCTTTTAATATGAATCGTGTTTTTCTGTCATGCTGCCTACTACACCTTGTGTGCTCCATGCACTCACCTGAGGGTGTCTGCAGATGTGTTGTCTTGTAGGACAGTGGAAAACCTCTCGTGATCCATATGTGCTGGGCTGAATGAAATGGCTGAGGAAGCTGCCAGGTTGATGGTGGGCTGGTACAGCTGCTGTCTTGGTGTCATCAAAAAAAAGCAGGGTGTGTTTGTGCAGTTCTGTCTGTGACATAAAGGCTCCTATCGGAAGTGTCAGGTGGAGGATCTGGGAGTTCAGAAACAAGCCTGAAAGTGCCTTCTCCTGTGGCCACCAAGAAGTAGTTTTCAGGAGACGCAGGAAGGGATAGAGTGTTCTTACATAGACTTTCTGTGGCAGATGATGACTCTCAAACTGATAGTCCTGCTGGGATAAAAGTTGTGCATGGTGGCAGTAGCCCCACAGGGATGCGTYGGACAGGGCAGGTCGGACAGCAAAAGAGAAGTTCCTGTCTGATAGAGATAGTGTTATGCTGTCCTAAGAAGTTGTTTCACAGTGAAATGTTTCTCATCCACATTACCATGAGGAAGATGCAGCACTCTGTAAAATGGAGAGATGGTGCTTGGAGATCAGCCGGTTAGTAGAGATCTGTGACATTAGATAAATGTGCTTAATAATTTAGTGGAACTACTGTTTTAAAAAAAATGATAAAAACTATTTGTTTTGTGAGAATGGCAGAGGAGGAATGGAGGAATGGCAGATGGAGGAATCTTCCTCCTCAGTAAGAAAACTTACTGGCAATGGATCTTGGTGTAATCCAGTGTAAGGTGGTGCCATCATGTTGCACAGAAGTATAACACATTTGATTGTTAAAGACAGTGATTTCTAGTTCCTATGCCTAGCAGTGATCTTTGAGCTCTCCATAAAAACAAAGAATTAACTTTAAATACTATGAGAAATACTTCTGTTGTACATTAGCAGAAACGTTTGTGTATTCTGTTCTTAAATTCCACCTTTAAAGCTGGACACAGTCATTGTTTTGCCAGTGTGTGTTTTGGCACATTCAAACACTGATACAGCAAGGCTCTGGTGTAAGTTCTGTGTACGCAGTTACAGCTGCTGCTGTGATTCCAGCACAAGCTGCATGAAAATACTTCCTTTTCTGCATTCAAATTGAATTTAATCTTTCTTGCAATCTGCAATTTAAAAATTAACTTATTTTAAAAATTTCTCCAAGATGTCAACATTAAATCCACTTTTCATCTGGATCTTGAAACAGTGTGGTTTTAAATATAGTTCTACTTGACAGCCAGCAAAACTGCTTGTAGTGTGTGTGTGATTGGATGTTGGAAAGAATCCACACCAGTTCGTTTTTACACCCTCTCTGAAGTTCTTCCAGATGTTGCTTTGTGACTTGTCTCTGCTTAGGCAGTGGGCTTACTTTGCTGTTCTTGTTTTGTTTTATATACTGCAATGGAGTGGATTTTCTAAGTCTTGGGGTCTTCAGCTCCTGGATGATAYCTGCAAAATGTGTATGGTGAGCCACTTGTGAAAATACTGTCTCATTCAGGCCTGTGTTATAACTTTGCGTGGCCAAAGCTACTTGTCAGGCTTAGAAAATTTATATGGGTTTGTTCTCCTATCTGGCGTGTTATAGGGTTATTACACCTCTTACCTTTGCTTTGCCCCTCCACTAAATGAGAAGTCGGTGGCCTGCGGGAAGAGGAAGAATAGTGTAATCAGGGCTGAGAGGGATGGTCTGCCCGGAGAGGAAGACCTCGAACAATGGAGTGAGGCAGGGGCAGGGTTGAGAGCCTGTGCCGAGTGGGTAGGACCCCGGCGGACAATCGGCTTTGTACAGTAGTGGAGGGTGGTAGGAAATTAGTGTGACTCACGGCAAGAGGGTCCTGCTCTGGTGCTATCAACGGGGCTCAACATGTGTGTGTTAGAGTAGCTATGAGGAATGCTGTCGATGAGGTGTGAGGGAGGGATGCTGCTCTTCCAGGAAAGCTAGGGCAGCTTGTAGACTAAAACAGGGAGCATTAGGAAATGACAGAGTCATGACGCTGTGCTTATGAGGAGCAGCTCCGAGCACATCAGCTGCCTCTTTAACCTTTGTCCTTGAGCCAGTGTGTGCCCAAGTGGCCAAGGAGACCAATGGCATTCTGGCCTGTATCAGCCACAGAGTGGCCAGCAGGATAGGGCAGTGATTGTCCCCCTGTGCTGGGCACTGGTGAGGCCACACCTCTAGTGCTGTGTTCAATTCTGGGCCACTCAGTTTAGGAAGTACATTGAGGGGCTGGAGCAAGTCCAGAGAAGGGCAACAAAGGTGGTGAAGGGTCTGGAGCACAAATCCCATGAGGAGGAGCTGATGGTGTTTAGCCTGGAGAAAAGGAAGCTCCATGGGGGAACCTTATGGCTCCCTACAGCTGCCTGAAAGGAGGCTGGAGCCAGGTTGGTCTCTTTCTGCCCGATAACCAGCAACAGGATGAGAGTTTAAGCTGCTCCAGTGGAGGTTTAGGTTGGACATTAGGAAAATTTTTTTCACAGGGCATTGATTAGATGTTGGAATGGGCTGCCCGAGGAGGTGATGTAGTCCCTGGAGGTGTTCAAGGAACAGATGGACATGGCAGTCAGTGCCATGGTAGTGTTAGGTCATAGGGTGGACTTGATAATCTCAGAGGTCCTCTTCAACCTAATTGGTTCTGTGATTCTGTTTTGTCAACTGGTTTCAGGGAAGATGTGGAAGACAGGTGCAGTACATGTAATATGTTTACAAGGAGCTCTTCCTATGGGCCGGAAGCCACAGGACAGAATTTCTTTGCAATTTCCTTGGCAACTGGACAGATGTAGGCTGACACCAGTAAATGACTGGGGCCAGGGGGGATTGTGCAGATAATGAAGGCAAAGGGAAGGGTGAAGCTATTGAAAATGGTGATGACAGGGGGTGTAGGAGTGCCCAGGGGGAAAAGGTGTGAAGGAAGGAATGGGAGGTGATGTGAGCAAAGGGCACAAGTGTCAGGAACCTGGGCTGGAATATACTCATCCTGCAGTGAAAGAGGCTGCTGTGCTAACCCTGACGTTAAATAATGAGGCTCCAAATGGGGTTTCTGCTACCTGAGTGGATAAGGAAGCTGTATCGGGGGATGAGGTGATGCGGGATATGGTGTGCTTACGGTGTACCCTGGGTGAAAGGACCTGGTGCTTGGGACAAGGGGCATATATGGTGCTACTTTAACACTAGTCATGAAAGAAAAGGGCAAAGTAGCCTTGTGAGTAGCCTTATTTTGGCTGGCTGGCTGGCTGGCTGGCTGCTGACATGGATGTCAGGGAGAAATGGGCCAAGAATGTCTTGGAGTGAATTCACACAAAGCCACTGAATGGAGCTGTCGTGATCTGGGATGCCAACATTTTAAAATCTGAAAAAGAGATGGGGAGGGGGAAGACCCCCCAAAAGATGGAAAAGAAAAAGAGAAAACTACCAAAGAAGCTGACAATAGCTGCTGCAGGATTAGTCTGCCCTGGTAGTGCTCCCACTGTCATCTGGGCCAAATTTTTGTCACTGAGCAGTAAGTAGTCTAGCCGATCTTCTCTCTCCCTGTAGAAATGCAGATCACTTTTATGGACATGGTTAAATGGAATTACTCAGATGGTAACAATTCAACACGTGTTCAAAGTTTTGGAAAATGGAAACTCAAAGGGGAACAGCTATGGCAGAGTAGACCTGAAGATTAAGCAGTATGAAATGGGTCATAAATAAAGCAAATCCAAAGTCTGTGATGACATTTGGCATTCAGCTTGTTTCTATTTGTATTTGGAGCCAGAATACCTTCAATGTTCTCATGGAAAGATGGGATGCCACTAGGCATCTTTCTTACAAAACTTTTCCTTGAAAATGAAGGAATTGTGCCTGGAGTGCCCTGTTGTCAGGAACCCCATGCAGGCTGCTTGTGCTGTTTCAGAGTCCAGTTTGGGGACCCTCAGTGTATTCATGTGCTGCAGCAGAGATGGGTCCCCGGGCTAGGGCAGGAGTTGGCTTTGTCATGAAGGTAAATTGTTAAACATGGCATCCAGAACATAACGAAAGTGAAAATAGAAAGCTGCCTACAAACCCTGTGGGCACTGGGGGAATAATCCTTACTGGTCAAAACTTCCTAATGTTTGATGTAGCTTCTGCCAGGCAAGGTGATTTTTTTGTACCCCAATTAACCTAGTGCTCACCTAGTTGGTTTTTTTTTGTTTGTTTGTTTGTTTGTTTGTTTGTTTTTTATTGTTAATTAATATAGAATGTTTTCTGGTCCAAATAATGTGATTTAAAAAACAAAACCAAACCAAGCAAGACCTCAGGACAGAATTTTTCAGGCTTACCCTGCAAATGAAGAATTCAGCTGGCACTTGGCCACATTAGAGAATGGCAGGCTTTGGCAGGCGCTGAGGAATTTCCTGAGTTATGAAAAGAGAGCACTGGGCACAGGAGAGATCACAGATAAGGCAGATCTTAGAAAATCATTGAAAGTAGAATTCTTTCCTGGTAAATTGTTCACTTTTGGAAATCACCTAGGTTTCTGACAGCCCAAGCACAGCAAGGAGGCTCAAAAAAAGAAGAGAAATATGTAGAAAGGACACAATAAGAAAATATTTTATTGAGATGTTTAATTTACTTTGATAGTAAGCTGAAATCAGTCATGCTTTTAGAATATTTTTATTAGCTGAGTATTTTTTTACTTATATATTAGCAGCTATGGTGTGGTTGGAAAATAGTGATCATCTCTATCTCTCAGAAATTCAAGAATCCCTCAGGCTTCTATAAATAACAACAGAAGCCTTAAATAGAAGGGGAAACACACATGATAGTACATTCCCCCAACCCCCTATGTAAATCACATGGACTCAAATACTTGATCTGATGTGGTGGTTAGAGATAAGGATAGATTGAAGTGAAATATACTGTTGATGGAGAGTGGTATAAAATGTGATAATTTCTAAATGTTCTTTTGCTGCTTTGGGAAGGGCAGCTTTTGCTGTGCTATGTCTGATGCTGTTGTTTAACTGTTTTTAAATTTCTACACCTTACTAGCTCTAATGCCTTAATGTTAGAATCCATCAGTGAAAATAAGTATTTCTAATGGAATGCTTTTCGAAAAGCCAGTTTAACTTTGGAGGTGTGTGGAGAGGAATTCTCCTCTGAAATGAATATACATCTTGGGCTTTGTAGTATTTTCTGCTAGCTAACACTCAGCTTCTGCTGTCTCCTTATGCATCAGAATAGTAAATGTACTTTTTCTTTTTTCTCGGGGCGGATGGGTGGGGGAAAGCCCAGACATTTTAAATATGTAGCATTGGTTTGATTTCCTAGGCTTTGACAACTTCAGACTTTCACTTCTTCTTTTACAGCTACTCGGTCTTTGACCACTTTATGTCTATTCACCTAAACAGACATGCTTATAAGTTTTCTGCACATTTTTTTTCTTCTTTCTCTTTGCATCATTTGGGTCTGGTTTTTTAAATTCTATAAAAACCCACTAAAGTCAGTTGCATTCTGTTCCATGTACTTGTTGATTTAAAAAAAATACCACTAGCAGCATATCTTTTCAAAAGTTGTAGTGAGTTTTACCTCTGCATAGTTTTGTTTTAGGTGTGTTTTTTGCCTTTGTTACATTTTTTCCTTGCAGATCATATCAGGGAATGTGATGTTAAATCCTTAATCCAGCTCATGTAGGTGGTACATACTCTTCAGAGGCTCAGCTCTGTGTCATGCCAAGAGAGAGGGCTCCCCAGTGCTTGGGATACAGTGGGCAGCCTGTCACAGGTCTGACCCGACTCCAGACTCTGAGCAGCAAAAGGGATGGTGCTTTGCCTTTTTTTGGAAGTGTGCGGGTGGCACAGGAGTGCTTTTTGGGAGTCACTGCTGCGCACGCTCAGCCTTCCTGTTGGTACCGAGGTGTTGATCTGTGCGTGCAAAGCTCAGCTCAAGCTGAAGAAGTTGAGGTGTGCTGGCTACCAATTAGTTTTCAGTAATTCCGTACTTCCTTAAAATTAGTCAAGTGTGTAGTTTCTTCTTGAAGGTAATTTCTCAAGCATAGACAGGAGTACTGGTGCTGTCAAATTCTTAACATAAGTCATGCAAATAGGTTTTGAAAATAAAAATTTGAGAAGCGCACCTAAAATCCTTCCCCTTTCTGTAACGTTATTTTTCTTTGCTGACTGAAACGTGGGGTCAATGTTGAGAAGCAGCCTAAAAGTAAGCAGATGAGAGAAATCCATAGATAATGCTTTAATCTGAATAGTCATTTCTTTGTAAGCTAAAGCTACATATTCTTTGTTACTTGTTGTCACTAAATATAAATATTTATCGTTTCAAAGGCTAKGTGTTTGTGGTTGTTTTGATAGCTATCTGACTTCACTCTGTAAATATTACTCTGGTGTTCCTGCACGCCTTTCTTGGTTTTCAGCTGCATGGGTGTATATGTACAAAGGGGAGCTTGCGTAGCTCATTTGTCACTCTCTAGGGCTGGATCTGTCTGTGCTCCCATTGCTTCTGTTACATGCAACTCTCTGAAACAATTGAATTTTGGTTATGTTTTGTTTTCTCACAAAACTTCGTGGGACAGAACTTGTGGTGACATCAAAGTGTCGCTCTGCGCATGGTTTTGGAGTGACAGGTCTAGTCTGGAGGGAGCACACCATGGTTGAGGCTGACAGCAATGTCACTAGTTTCTCTTCTGTCCTTAGGTCCTTTCTCACAACTTGTGCACAGTGTTAAATGTTCCCCATGATCCAGTGGCCTTGGAAGAACACTTTAGGGATGATGATGAAGGACCGGTCTCCAATCAGGGTTATATGCCTTATCTAAACAAATTCATCTTGGAAAAGGTAAGTTTTGAATTCTTGTGTTCTGTGCTTTCTTGAATCAGCTTCTGTTGTTAGAGCATCTTTGCAGTAACGGGAGTGTGCAGGAAGCTGGTGCTGGTGTAAAAACACTGCTGGGAGTGTGACCCTGTGAGGTCATCATGGGGCAGTTACTCTGGAGAATCTGTGCCTAAAAATGGAAGGGTGCACTGTTCTCTACCTCTTCTCTCCTTGGTTTCCATTTCCTATTACATCTGGCCCTCGTTTAAGCTGCATTCATGCCGGACTGTGTTCATACCAATAAAGCACCTCAGCTTGAATTTATCTGAAAGTGTCTGGGAGCCACAGATTATGCTACAGCTATAACAGAATAGTCATAGACTCCTTTGCAAACAGAGAGGGCAAAAATACCTTCAGTGTTCTTCACAAGGTGTTTTAATAAGGCAATCCCTTCATACAGTTACACTGTGTGACATTAGGGAGTGTAGTGAAGTTTTGTCATGCAGGTTCTTTCCTTTCATGTCCTAGCATTCTTCAATCTCCCGTTATGCCTTGCTTCAGGAGAAACTCTGGAAAGCCAGCAGCACTCCCGCTYCTCTCCTCTCCATTATGAATAGGTAGTCACTGGGTTTGAAAGCTAAAAAAACCTAAGCAACTATCTCCCTGCTTTTCTTCTGAGTCCTTCTGTTCAGGTCCTGGACTGGACAGCAAAAGCAGCTTACATGATAGTGGAAGCACCAGCTTCAACACCACCCATTTACTTGAGGGCCAACCCAGAAACCCTTAAACTTTGATCCTGTGGCTGATACAGAGCTGTTTGCTCTCTTTTAGTATGTGATAAGCTTCTGAAGTAATGTACTGCTGAGAATTGCAGTGCAGCAGTTGCAGATGATGCAAATTCGTAGCCCCATTTGCTGATTTTTGCTCCTTCATTTAATAGTGGTGAAAAATGTGATAGATATAATGCAGTCTGGAAGTTTGGAAGCAGTAGAAATATATTATGTCTATGTCAGACTTACAGCTCCTCTGCCTCTCTAGTCTTAGGTATGAGAGACACCCCAGGAGTGTCCTGTTTGATTGGGAGTGGTTAGCCTTTAATACATGTTAGGTACTTCATTAATGTCTTGGTGGTTTGATGCTGAAGAATCTTGTTTTGTCCCTAAGGAGTTCTGATCTCATTTCTTCTTCATGCTGGCTGTCTGAGCTCCTATAAGATTCAAGGGAGACCAAGCAGTTTGTACACAAATTCTGGGAAAAAGAAAAGGCCTTAATTTATTTTGATCAAAGGATGGCAGTGGGAGAGGCTGAGCCACAGTGGATTAATACTCTTTGTAGGCAGTAACAAGCCATTAAATAAAGAAAACCCAAAAGAGATAGGTATGGGTTTTTCAAATATAAAAATGTTTTATTGTTAAASGGTGTTTATAGGGAGAATAGTTATGGAAATGAAGAGCAAAACTGCATTTAAGTAACTCTTTTATCTGAGTATGACAGACCTGGCTATGTAAGGAGGTAGGTATGAAAGGGAAGAGCATGACTGTGTGCAGTTCCTTTTGTTGTTTTATTCATACACTGATTTGGCCTCCAGTGATTGCCTGATACACCCATATCATCAGTTAATCTTAAAAGATGGAAATTGTAAGGAACAGAATTAAATTACCTGTAAATTCCTGTAATTTAATCCTGACTAAAGACTTGTAAACAAGAAAATTAGTGAACTTGTTTTGACAGTAGGCTCTCTTTTTGGATAGGAAAAATCTTGACTGTGACTTCTTTTAGGGATGACTTTTCATCGGTGCCAAAAGACAACACGCAGAGGGATGAAGTCACTGATTCATAGCATGTCTCCTTTGTTTAAAACAAACAAGCAAAAAAAGCAAACAAGAAACTCCTTCTTCATTTTTCCAAGGCGTAATCTGCTCTTTTAGATTTTAGTAGAAAAATTGCTGGTAGTATATTCTAGTAAGCAAAGCTGCTAAAGAAGGAGTGATATTTTATATCCAAAATACAGAGGAATTTCCAGTCATACATCTTATGGTATTAATTGATTTGAGCAAGAGCCACTGGCTCAGGAGAGGTTTTTTGATCTCAAGATGTTTTGCTTTAAGACATTCATAAACTATTTAAAGAATGAATTCTTAAATTTCTTTTAAAACAGATACATAACAGTGACTTACAATTTTATTGAGGAAACTTGGTAACCTTTGGAAATAACTTCTGTTGTACTCTTAAATGCAGTTCTAGCTTTTTATTTTTTGGTGCTGACTTACCCTGCAAAAAAGCCTCTTTATGTAGAACCAAGAATTCATTAAGGGACAATTGTCCAGAAAGACAAGATAGTTAAGTGAGGTACATTGGTTGCAACTAATTTTCTTTATCCACATAGATAATTTCAGTAAATAGTTTGAATAATTAGTATTGCCTAATTGATGATTTCTAGTGTTAGGCATCTTGTTACTAGGAGATAGATGTATCTAGGATTTTCTTGCATCTGAAACAATGTCTATCTTGTTCTGTAAGTGGCTCCCTCAGGAGGGAACTGTCATTTGTCAATATAATATCTTCATAATTTGTTTTACTTGGTTTCTTAACTGTATTTTAGCAGGTTCTGTTATTTACAATGTACATCTTTAAATACTAGTTGAGAATTTTTCCTTTTAAATGATGGCAACAGTGGTATTTTACAGCAGGCCTTATTTAGAGCAAGGAAGAGTCATAGTGGGGGGGACAAAGAAGGACATGGTTCAAACCTCAGGTTATCTCATCTTCCAGAAAACTTCATGAATGCAAGTAACACTACCAATGCCTGTTATATTTTTGGAACTGTTATTTGGKAGAGCCAGGGCTTGTGTGCTGATGTAATTATTATCCTGAAAAAATCCTAATCAGTGTCTCTGTTCTGGATGTCACGTGTTCCCCACAAAATCCATTTCAGAACTGTCTAGATTCTGACAAATGGACTTTCATTTTCAAGGAGGGACCACTGAGACTGTGCAACCTATTCCCCTGTGCCAAAATGGTTCTGAAACCTTCTGCTTGACTGCTGCACAGTCCTGGTGGCAGGGACATGCTGCACGTGACCGGTGCTTTGACAGAACTGTCTGAAGCGCTGCAGTCTGGCTTTGCTGTTGTAGAACAACCCATGCATTTGCCTTTATTCCAGCCAGAGCCCTTCTCCACACATCACCCCGTGGTCACAGGGGATTGCTGCTATGACTTAAAGCATGAGTCACTCAGAGGGCAGTCCCACCTTATTAACAGTGCTTGGAGTGCTTGCCAGGTGGTGGCCAATAGGAAAGGAGGTTTCCCATCCTGGGCGTCTTCCTCAGGAGTACCATAACCACTAGAACATTTCCAAGGTGAAACTGCTCATCATGTGGGAGGAAAAAGCACTTAAAGAAGTCAAGCTTCATTGGGCAGGGTGGGGAGGACAGGCAGAAAAACCATAGGAAGAGTAGCCAAGGAGTGAAGTGCTGGTGAATAAAACGAAGGAGAAGGAATCCTGGCTTCTACCCCACCATCCAGAGGGTGTTTGTTTATTTAGTCAGTGTTTCATTTAAAATCCATGTTTCTTGTGCAAACAAGGTAGATGCTGAGCTCTGGCTCCTACAGCTTCCATCTTATTCAAAGGACAGCTCTAGCCTGTAGCCTCTTGCATCTTCCACTCATGTTGGTGGCCTCTGCAAATGTTCAAAGTCTATGGTTTTCTTTCACAGTCTCACTTTCACGCTTGGAGACTGTTCTTGTCATTGGTTTCTTGTATACGTCTGCTTTTCCTTTTTTACCTTATTTTCTCTTTTTCCCTGACCCACATCAGTACATCAGCTTCTCTGCTCTGTCACTGACTGAGCCAGTGTGGGTCACCCTCCACTCTATATGACCATTTACCAGGCTGGATAGGAAATCATAAAGTTTGCATTGGTGTTCCTCAAACATCTAAGATCTGTGGTTTGGCTTATCACAAAAATAATCACTGACCATTACTGGTCTCACTACCACAAGAGGTACAARAACTTGGTTTTTAGACATGCTTTCCAAAATCTCAAAGGGGTTTCCATTACAGTGTCAAACATACCTTTATCAGTTACACTGTGGCAAAGAAATATCATTGCTAAGTTGTGGGGAGATAATAAATGGATTTAATGTATAACTTAAATGGGGGTTTAAAAAGAAAACAGAGGAAATTAAAGCTCTTGCATACATAAATAATTCACAGATCGGTAGGTGCAGTTGCTAGGTATGATAAAGGATAATGAAAACAAGAGGGATTTTTGTATCAATGAGGTTAAGATTTGCAAGTCTGAGAAAAGTAGAAGGTTTTAAGTGGATTAACACTTGAGGAAGAAAATACTCTGTGTTTATGAATACCCTACAAGAGTTAGTTTGAGTAATGGGAGGTAAAAAACATATTAAAGGTCTTTCCCAGCTGTTGTTCCAGTATCACTTTTAGTATATTCACATGTGGATTTGGCTACTCTGGTTTCCAAATTTCCTATATAAAATCTCAGTGAGCTGGTGCAATAGGAGGGCAGTTGGAACTAAGACAGTTCTGGAGACTGTTTGGAAGCTAACACTGATCTGCTAGAGGAAAAACAGAGTGCAGTATAGCATCCTTCCCACAAAGTCAGGGCGTGATTAAGTCAACCAGAAATTGGAGGTTGGATGTCAGTTTTGCTGGGAGAAATTCTTTATTTGACCCTGTGCAGGAAAGCAGACTAGGTTGTTACAGTGCTGTTTTTGAGCCCTGATGTTTTGTGCAAACTACAATTTTCTCACTGCTTTTTGTGTCATGTAGCCTGATAAACTTCGTCTGCCATTCGTTCATATCAATTTCTTTGTTGTTCAATTTCTTCTCTTTAGGTTCAAGGAAACTTCRACAAAGTTGAATTCAACAGGATGTGCTGGACTCTCTGTGCTAAAAAGAACCTCTCTAAAAGTCCTTTGCTGATTAGCGATGAAGATGCATTTAAAGTCTGGGTTATTTTTAACTTCTTGTCAGAGGACAAATACCCTTTAATCATTGTACCTGAGGAGGTAAGAAACAAAAACTTTAGTTATTTAACACCAGTTTGCCTAATGTCCCAATTGAACTATGTTAGTGTGGTACTCTCTAGAGATTTAAGAGAAAATATTGCTTAATTTAAAACAATTATTCCCCTCTTTTAGTATTGTAAAGCCTCAGGTGCATTTCTCTATCTTCCAGGGTGCATATATGGGGATGTCCACAGGATACTTGAGATATGGATAGCTCTGTCTGTCATTTAAACAGCCTGGATTAAACAGGATAAACAGGACATGCATGGATGTGGTCTTTAATCACTGCACTTGCTTATAGATGGTTAAAATCTTGCAAAGTCAATACATTAGTGTGATTCTGAAAGAAAAATTCCCCTCCTCTGCTCTGTGTTACTGTGACTTGCAAGATGATTTCAGTCTCAAGTCACCCTCCTGATGAAAAGGACAATCCAAACTTTCCTGATATAGTCGGTTTCTGATCCAAACCAGCCAGCCCCTAAACACTCTTTCTTGAAATGAAGGAAAATACCAGAGGGATCTCTTTCTACTTTCAATTTATGAACAAGTATCAGCAGCCCTCAAATAGGTATTTTAACCCTAAAGCAAGGTTTCAGTATCTCCACTGTTCTCCCCTTTGGGACGGGTGTGGAAAGAAGCAGAAATAACAGAACTGTTGGTATAAATAAACCCTTGCAAAACTGTGTATGCAAATCCCAGTGGTTTTCAGTTCAGCACTGGAGGACTGAATAATAAATATTTGCAAACTGTTGAACAGCCAGGGATCAAAACTGTCTGATGAACATGCCACTAACAACATAACTGTTGGACTCCAAGGTGTTGTGCCAAACCCTCAAGTGCAGATAACTCTCCTATCAAAATAAACTGTTCAGTTTTGCTTGCTCACTCACTTTTTAGCAGGAGACTTTCACTCTGTACAACATTTCTGGTTTTGCCTGACTGGCTCATGTCAGGGCCCTACCTGGCATGCCACATTCCCATGAGAAATGAGACAATCTTCCTGCTTACTTTCCCATTTATTTCTGTTGGTTCTGGGAAACAGGATCATGGTTATAAAAGTGAAGACAGCTTTGGTAGCCAGAGCCACTAAAAACTGGGACTCAAATCTATGTCTCTGGTTTGTCAGTATGYTCCCCACCGTCAAGCGTGGCTTACCTGTGGGCAGACATTTCACATTTCCTGACTTGCTGGCATGGTCAAAAGCTTCAGACCTGCCAGCTCTGGGGTGTTGCTCCCTGCTCCTCCTCTACCAAGCAAGTGCCAGATTTGTGCTGCTGTCTGTAGCTGCTGCCAGGTAATCACAATGTGTCTGTGTGTTGGCAGATGTGCTGTGGAGTCAGCACTGAACTGAGGTTTTCCAAATGTCCAGATTTTGTATGTGCTGCTGTTTGCTTTCCTTCCATCCTTAATGTCCAGGGTTGGCCTATATTGCTCATCTAGTTGGATTATTTTTACAATTCTTACTGTGGATCTGTGTCTGCATATCATTGATTACAGCAAGATTTAAATTGTGCAATTTGTTTAAAGAAAGCTTACAGAGCCTGACTGACAAAGAAAAGCTCTGTTCTTATCATGTACATTGTATTCATTGTACCTTCACTCAGACCACACAGGTAATGTAATCAGCTACTGGAGGAATGCTCTCTGTTGAACACACTCCTTTCTGGTTTGCAGTGGTCCTGCATCAGGTTCTCTGTGCCTCTGGAAAGTTTTGCATTTACTCGTCTACTCTTTGCACAGAATTCCCAAAGTAAATATGCAAAGTCTTAATTTCAGTCAGTTTTGCTTTTTCTTGGATGTTTCATATCTGCCTTTTTTACAAATGGCTTGCATATATAAAGTGAGGGAAATTTTACAAAGTGAAGAAGAGAGGAGAGGGGGGATGGAAGCGCTGCAATTCTGTGATGTCGATATTTTGCTGAGAGCAATGTAAACCTCTAGTGTGTGACTGCAGCTTCCCACCCAGGGAGCAGGCTTGCCTTCCCTGCCTGACTGTTGCTCTTATCGCTGTTGGAGAATATTGCAACACACAATTGACTGCAGTTTCTGGCTTAAAGATCAGCTGTTTTTGTGGGATCCAGATGTTTCCCCTCCTCCCTCCCTTCCACATTGTTACTGTTTGTTTATTTGTTTTCCACTGTATAAGTAACTGAGAAACTTGCCACATACTTTCAGGTTGGAAGGGTGATCCCTTGAAGATTTTTGCATCCTGCCTTGTGGATGGCAAGACTTCTTACATCTCCAGTGAATGTATTAACAAAATTTCATGTGTTATTACATATGTATCATCATAAGGATGCCTTTTCTTCCTCCTTGGAGGAGCTGCTCRTAGAGACCTGCTTGGGAGTCTGAATTCCCTCTTTTTCTTTTTGTAATTTTTAAAATGAGATAAGTGGTTTCTGCAGTCAGTTCATGGATTTCATATCTCATATCTGGGAAAGCCTTCTRCTTGAGTGCTATTTCACCTTATTTGCACAGTGCTGACTAAATACTGAAGCTGCTGTCCTTCCTTCTTGCCCATGTCACGTGCTTTTGCTGGACCTTTCCTGTGCTGGGCCTTTCCTGCTAGACAGCTGAATGTGGTGGGGCTGTTACCCCAGCTACAAAGTGTAGTCTTGATTCCCCGCCCAAGTGTTGAATGGGCAGCAAATGGGGAATGTGCTGCAGCTCATCCAGAGAAGGGAAAAGAGGCTACTTTGGAAAGGAATCAGAGGTGCAGGCTGAGAAGAACCTTAGAAAGAGCAAAGTGAGGCAAGCAGTTATCAGGAGAGAATTTCAAAGCAGTGGCGAAGGTGACACAAGGGCCAGAAGTTGCTTGTTTAGCAAAGACCAGTCTGAAAGCCAGAGGCAATGAGTGGCCTGTGCTCCTCACCTGCTCTGAAAGCAGGGATGTCAGTCCTGCACTTGAGGGAAATCAGGTTTGTAAAACCCAATATGGGGAATGGATTGGGTTGGGTTGTGCAGTTTTGGAATGTGACTTCAAGCTTGAGAGGATCTGTCTGTGTTACGGGGAGAAGTCAGGTAACAGAGACAGGAGCTGATGGCTACAGGGAGCACTGGGCACAGCTGGTGACGGCCCTGCATTCCGATGTTCCTTCTGCTAGCTACTGGTGGGCAGCTGAGAGCACTTGGGACAGCTGGGAAGGAGCAGAGATCCGTGAATGTCTATTTTGCAAAGGTGCTCATGTGCCAAGGCAGAATGCGGGGCCTGTGTGACAGCTCCTTCCCCTCCCCACAGCCAGTATTTCCCATTAGATCATCTTGGATGCAGATATCCAAGTGTGTGTTTCATTCAGCTCTTGCAGTCATTATCTCTTCCATGAGAAGGATAAAATAAAGGAAAAAAGTTGGAGAGAACTGAAGCCATAAGAGGAGAAATATTTCTATTTTGACATGACCTTTCCTTGCAATTCACTTATTTGTTACAGACTCATTTGTGTGTCTTGGTATTGTTTAACYAGACATTTTCTGTTTTATAAAGAAGGTTTTCAGACACTTCCCCTTTCTTATTTCTGGGCATGTGACTGCAGCCTTGGGAATGCTTTATCTCCCGAGAGCTGTGGTGTGTGGTTAGTTGTGTTTCTGGGCCATTGTTCATGGTGAAACTCACAGATACACTACAAGCTGCATACTCAGTTTTGTAATCCAATGTTCACCACTTGTTTCAAATAAGCCAAACATATTTGCTACTTTTGGCTTCATGAGGAAAGATTTGTACAGTCATTTTTCACTTGCCCTCTAATCTTCAACTGTATTAACACACAGCATTTCTAATCCTCCTAAGAGGACCAACCCTTGTGTGGCTTTTTGTGCATTTGAAAATTAGGTGATGTTTTCTTAGCCTGAGGAGGTGAGAATCTGATCCAGTGGTGATTCTTCTGGAGGGATTTTTTTAAGAAAAAGTGTTTTTTTATTACTATATTTGTTTCCTTGTTCTGCAATCTAGTACCAGAAACTGAAACAGTGAATGAAATACTGGGAATTGACTCTTGGCCCTTCAGAAATAACATCAAAACTGACATAAAGAGAATGAAAGCTGCTTGCATGGGGTTTTAATTGACCCATGAGCTCTAAAACTTGATGACAGAGCATAGGAAGATTTGTAGTCTCTGAAGACTTGATCAGTTCTTCCCATTTCACTGACTTCTTCCTTGATTGCTGCATGAAATACAGTTTTCAGCTCATGTAGCAAGTTGTTTTTTTACTTGACCTTTACTACACTTAATACTGATTTAATTTTGAAAAAAGAAATAAGGTAGTGCCTTACACTGGATAATGAACACAGTTTTGCTGGTGGAAAGGAAGAAACAAATATTTGACTTATATTTAAGTGATACTCTGATGGAATGAAAGAAAGGCATTGATAATGACTGTGAGAGAGGATATGATTGCTTTCATGGCTGTTGCCAGTAGCATACACTTCCACACAATTTTATACAATGTGAGTAGAGTTATGAGACTTGCTCTGTTAATGTCACACACCTTATATGAATAGTTGTGAACCAGAATACCCTTGTCTGCTGTGCTCTGCTGGGCATGAAGGCCTGCTTGGCATGATTTTTTTTATTCTAAGAGACCCACTTGCATATCAGAAAAATGTGTGAAAAATCTGTGATACTTAATTCTCTATGGAAGAAGGAGTACCTGGAAAAGAAAAGCAAATAGACACTGAAACACAGGGAAAAGAAAGTGCCCTCTGAAAGAAGCTCCCAAACAGGCCCATGTTAGAGCTCTGTTCTTTATATTACTTTTTATTTCTCTTGGCAAAATTCTAGCTGAAAAGTTTCTGTTGATTTGAGATGGATGCTATTTTTAGTAGTGTGGAGCCACTTGGTCCTTACTGGTGTGTGTAGTGTTGACAACTCCCTGGTATTTTTGCACTTGAATTTTGCGTATTTTTTACCTGAAAGCAAGGTCCCATCAGAATAGCAGAAAACGTCCCTTCACTTTTGCTTTTCAGCATTGCTGTTAAAACACAAGAGTAGGTTTTATTTGAGACAAGAGACTTAATTTGTCAGTTACTTGCTGTGTTGACATGCCTCTGTGGAGGAGGGGAAATGTCACTTGCTCTCAGAGGTTCCTCATTTGAGCATATGTGGAGTGGTCTCTATTTGCTGTCACACTGGTGCAACTTATTTCTTTGTATTTACCTCATACTTCCATATCCATACTGTGCAACAGTCACTRTTCCTGTTGAGCACATATATTAGATCAACTTTTTCTGGGGACCTTGATTAGCCATGTAATTAACCAAATTCAAGATAAACCTTGAAACTTTTTAAAAAGAATTTTAGAAATTGAATTGTCAGATGCACAGGTAATTTTTCAGTTGAGTTACTGTAGTTTAAAGTAATGAATACTTTATGTACTTTAGTGGGATTATAAGATATTTGTGGTCATGTAAGTGACTGGTAGATGGAAGTTAACAGATTTAAATGGTTAATTCTATTCTAGGAATCAAAATAAGGTAAAATGTGTACAAATAACATTAAAGAAAACATGTTGGCTTCTTTTTAGTGTATTATATGATAACGTGTACTAGCCAAGAGCTTTGCATTACTTAATTTTCAGATCATTAGTTTGATCCACATTTTATTCATATGTCTTGAGCAAAAATGGGGAAAAWATATTCAGGTATGCTCTTTTTGTGTGTTCCATTGTCTGCAAGGGAGTCCTAGTACTCTGAGATAATTACTATAAAGAATTTGAGAATGTCATGCCTCAAGCACTGTAAGAGGTTGTGAAATCCTGGAACAATGCATTTTAAAGTTAGAATTCATATTTTTTAATTATCTAGTTGAATTTAATTTATAATTTAATTATTATTACTGTGTAGCATTTTGGCAGGTATATTATCTGCCCTGTTAAGCCAGAGTTATTCAGCTTTCCTTCCAGCAAAAGTCCAGGATCATAGTTCAGAACTGATGCTGCTCAAAGGGAATGAGCAGAGTGACAGAATGTGTTTTGAACGTGGGTAAAAATCAAGGTTTTAGGAGGTTTGCTTTGAAAGAACTTTGCAGTGCTTCTGTACTTGCGTGCCGTGGAGGCTTTTTTTGGTTGTTTTTTTTTTTTTTTTTTTCTGCAGAGCTTGTCTGGAGTAGGAAGTAAGCTGCTTCCTGCCCTTAACTGAGTACTGAGGATTTATGGTAGTCAATGCTTGAAAGCCTTGAATTATTTTTTTAACGTAAGGATTTTGGAGAGTGAAAATAAGCAAAGCATTTTTTAGAGTGTGAATTTGAGCACCACTTCTGCAGAGGCCTCTGTTAGACCATAATCTTTGCTAGTAAGAACTACATGAGGAGCTAAAAAATACAGAAGTGTCTTTCTTACTTGGTGAAGCTGAAATGAAAAGCAATGCTCCCTACAACTTCTGGAGGCATATTCTGTGCCGGGCTGGCCTGTCTGCTCCTAAGGGAGACTTCAGGAGGATATGACAGCCACGTCTTGGAGGTGTATGCACTTCCGGTTCATTCAGTGGAGCAGGAATTTTCCTCTTGGCAGTGCAGCAGCTTTGCAGCTTCTCCATTTTGCTGTAGCACTATCCTGTGCTGCTGGAGTAGGGGCTGAGACCAAGAGAGTCCCTGAGCTGAAATAGTAGGAAAAGTGCATCGATCTGTAGAGGGTGAATTTGGTAATTTACTGTTCTGCTACACACTTGTGTTTCCTGACCATAGCCATGAGGGAAAGGAAGGGATTTGTCTGCGCCAGTTGTAGGAGAGAGAAGCAGCAGCTCCCAAATTAGCATGTGTGCTGCATCAGAACCTTGAGGCCTGGGATCCTTGTGGTGAAATGTACAGGGGGACAAAACCACTTCTTTATTCCTTTGTACTCCAGAATCCTTGTGTAGAGACTCGTGTGTGCTCAAGACCGACTGAAAGGTAACTCTGAGCTGTAGCAAGAAGGTCCTCACAAATTCTTTTGTTTAAGGAGTCATTAAAAGTATTGTGCACGTGCTCAAAGCTGTAGATGGGCTTAATTTAAAATACTGCAAATGAACAGTGATGAGTTTAAAACCAACATAAAAAACATGAAGAACCTCAGCCTTCTGTCTCTTTTTCATTCTTGTGTTTGACTAGTGTAACGGTGCGTCTTGGGGTGATTTTATGACGATACTCTTATTACTAATCGTCTGCTTTGTGCCCAGAAACGGGTCCTGTAGCTTTAAGTTGGGTCCGGGGGCAGCGCAGGAGCCGGGGGAGCTACGCGGAGGGCTTTGCTCAAGCTCTCGCTCTGCGTGCTCGGCTTCCCGAGGGCTGTTGTGTTGCTTTAGCTAGCTTGGTGTTAGCTTAGGCAGTTTTCCCTGGACTGCGGTAGCAGTTCTTCGGTGGCTTCTGTTGTTTCTTCTTGGACTGTTCGGTTTGGCTTTTGGTCGGGGATCAGACAATCCCGGGAGCCGGTGGGTGCGGACCGGCGGGGACGCTGCGGGGACGCCCCATCTCGGCCCAGATCTCGGGAGAAGCTGAACCAACGAAAGGAAGGACTCCAAATGCACCAGCTTTGGCTGCTGCGAAGAGGAGACCAACAGCGGAGGTTCACCAAGTTCCCCTCTGTATTTTTTCTCCCCCGAGCCGTCGTGCGAGGTCTTTCCTTCCTCCCCTAGACAAGGCCAGCCGCCATTTTCCCAGCATGCGGCCGGCAGTTTCCCCTTCCCCGGGCGTTGTGTGTGTGTGTGTGTGTGTGTGTGTGTGTGTGTGTGTGTCTGTGTGTGTGTCTGTGTGTGTCTGTGTGTGTCTGTGTCTGTGTGTCTGTGTCTGTGTGTGTCTGTGTGTGTGTACAAGGTTCTGAAGGTTCAATATCTAACAGTTACTCATTTTTTTTCTGTGCCCTGCAGCCACCTTGTTTGTCAGATAAACAGTTTGGGTTTTTTTTTCCTTTCAGCCAGAAAAATGCATCACATATAAGCGGTAAGGGATTGCTGAAAGCCTTTTCTTTAGAGGAAAGGTTCACTCCAGAGTGTTCTCTCTTAAATTGTCTCTGGGACATGGTGCTATTGCTATTGTCCCTGTGCATGGTAATGGTTACAGAGTGATGAAAGAATAAAAGACAAGGATAATTTATTTGGGAAAAATAAATCAGACATGAAAGATTTTTTCTTTTATTTCTCTTGATTGTGTGGGGATTGTATCCAGAATGGAGTGCTTGAGAGCTACAGAAAAGGGGTCAGGTGTAGATCATACCTTGACAGTTTTTCATTTAATTTCTTTGTCCAGGCTTTTTTTCCTGAGTTGGTGTTATTTATTTATCTATTTATTTAATTAAAAAAATTGTTTGCTTTTTGTCTTACAAGACTCCTTTCTGAAACATCTTGCTTTCTCATGTTTCAGTCATCACAGTTGGGAAACTGTTACAGGGGAAGGTCCCATGTGTTCAGTAGGAATCTGAAATATTAAATGAGGCTGTCAGGTTCAATTCTGTGTTTTACTGTGAAGAGAGTAGCTTTGGGATGGGCTTGGCTGTCTAGCTGAGACAGGAGTTTAAAACCTTTGTTGATTAAACAACCTACATTTAGGGGCCTACATGTGAACATAGGAATATCGCTGTAATGAGAGTCTTTGGAGAAGCTTAGTTTATAGCTCTGAAACACTTCATTTCCATGCTTGTTGCAAATGATGGGTTTCTGTTTGTGTTTCTGCATAGATTGAATATTTGCTTAAAAAAATCACGGAAGCAATGGGAGCAGGCTGGCAGCAAGAGCAGTTTGACCATTACAAGATTGCTCTCAACACCAGTCGAGAGGGTCTCTCTGCGTGGGAGCTGATCGATCTCATCGGAAGTGGGCAGTTCAGTAAAGGAATGGACAAGCAGACAGTGTCCATGGCAATCAACGAAGTCTTTAATGAGCTCATACTAGATGTACTCAAGCAGGTATGAACTACAGAGAAGTAATGTTTTAGAGTGTTTTGTTGCATTTATTAGAAAATGTTCAATTTGTACTTACATTTCTTTACCTTATTGAATGATGAGAAAGAGGAAATTAGGTAAATTATCTGTTTTTTTTAATATGAGCTTATTTTTATAAAAGCTATTCAGATTGTTGTAATTGTTTCAATATTATGAATGAATGAGTGAAAGTGAAAAATTTAGAAAGTGAAAGAAGTGGGCTCTGACTTTCTTTATGGCCTTTTTTACACTGGTATCAGCTGCATGTTAGTTGATAGAATTGCTGCATCATGCTCTCAGTTCTTAACTGGTGACAGCTTTTCAATCTTTGGAAATGATTTCTTGTAATTTCAGTTATGTTGTAGGAAATGCAGCTGTGCTGGTGACCACCTCTGTATTCAAACAAGTGGGTCTGAACCAGGGTATTGCTCCAGTCCAGCTGAAAGGTTGGCTTCTAAGTTGCCCTGCTTCAACAGGGCAAAAAGGTGTGGAAGAGCTCCAGAGGGCTCTCCCTCCTTGTTCTGCTTGGCAGGCTACATGTCTGACAACCTATTTACCTGCACTCAAACTCTGGAAGTCATGCTGGCCTTTGTATTCTTAAGCAGACTTCTTTCTTCGGATTTCCATGGCTGGATTATCACTCTAGGAATGCCTTTAAAACTGCATTTCTTTCATGGGAATTGGAAGTACCACAAGGACCTGAAAAGTCACAGTGGAGTTTACCTACAGAGCTGTTAAAAATTGACTTTTACCTGACAAAAGAATTTTTTTCATCTTTGTTTTCCTGGTGAGGACATAAACAAAGGCTTTTTTTTTTTTKTCAGGCTTTGCTAAGCTGCTCTGAAAAACCATCAGAAAGTCTTGGCACAGGAAATTCTTTCAGAATACCTACAGAACAATGCAAAAGTCTATTTTTGTTAACTGCTGGTTGCCTATTGGGAGGTGAGGGCTGGGGACACACACTCATAAAGTCAGTTGAGGGCAAAGTGAAGTCATTCTGCTGTTTGATACTGTAAAAATAAATTATCCAGTGTCAGATCAGTCCTACTTAAAACTTGCGAAGAAATCAGGTTTCTTTTCAGTTTTGATACTTCACTGTGTGTCTTCCCCTGCATATTTTTTTGTGTTTTGTTTTGTGTCTCCTTTCTTTCCTCTCTTGATGCCTGGGCTTCTTTCTCAAGGCTGTCTGAGTTCCTTTGAACAGTTCCTTGATGGTTAAAAATAGTTTGTGCCAAGATTTGGCTCAGCACCTCCTGGGTAGTTTGGACAATTACTGGCCCAGTGGAGAGCAGGGTTCTCTGTGTGATTTCAGTGTCCTGGTAACTTGTTGATTCACAGAATCTCCTGTTTATGGCAGAAATCATATAATTGCTTCAAGGTACAAGATACTAATTAATGATACATGATACATGGTCTTGTAACCCAAGTGTCATGCTACCCTTTTTATTGAATGCATCCTGGATCTCAAAGGCTTGTGGAGGGTAGCAACAATCGTTAAATTTGTGGTAGCATTCTGAAAAATGTGTTTTTCATGTGGTTTTTGCTGTGAAAAAGCTCCTGCTTTTTCAAGAACTCTTAGTGGGCTCTTGGAAGATGAGAAGCAGCTGATACTGAAATAATAGATGAAGGTTTTGCAGAAATTTGAGGGAAAGATATTAGTCTGATCTGGCTTTGGAAGCAAATTTGGGGAAAATTGCTTCAGGAAGGGAAAAAAGCTCTGGCTGTAACTTAGAGTGCAAAACATGAAAGATTGAAGCTGCAGGAGTCCTTCACATGGCCTTGCAACCACTCTKAGCTCAGCCCCAAGTACAGAGGCAGCAAAGAAAAGCTGTTTCTCTGTGCATTCCTGGTTTGGAGCAAGGGAGTGGGATGGCACATGGGAATAGGCATGGCCTTGGCTCTGGACATGTTTAAGTGGTTAGAAAAGCTGAGCACAGATAAGCTATATGTGTAGGGGGTTTGGATTTTTGTTTGGTTTGATTTATTTTTTAAACAAAAAGGCTTCTTAAAACTGTTCTGAATGTTTTCTTTCACCTGAGACCTGTAGAGAAAGATACCTATGGCTTAAAAATGCCACAGCACATTTCTTTAAACCATTTTTTTTCTAAATATAAGCACATTTGCATGTATCATGAACTATTATAGATGAAAACCATTACAGAAAAATGTTCCATAGTCTCTTTCCAACTTCTTTATCCTCTTAATCTGGAATACTTTGAGTATACTTACTGTATGGCTTGTTCACGGCTTACATGGATGTTGATATTTCAGTTTCATCTCTGACTTTTTTGGAAGTTAAAAATCAGACAAAGGTATGTAAATATTTAGGAATATGATTACAGACATGGCAGGTACAGCTGATTGGCTGATTTTCTAAGTGTTTGGGACCATGAGGTAACTTTTCTATGTGCTGTATTGGGTCTTTACACCTTTGCCTAACCACAAGACCAGGTGGTTCAGCAGAGGCCAGGCATTTCAGCTGATATGTTGCTTTTAACAGGGCTATATGCTGAAAAAAGGTCACAAACGGAAAAACTGGATGGAACGGTGGTTTGTGCTAAAACCCAACAGTATTTCCTACTACGTAAGTGAAGATTTAAAGGACAAGAAGGGAGACATCATATTGGATGGCAACTGTTGTGTAGAGGTAAAACCATTCCAAAAACTGTCTCTAAAGATAAGTGTTAATCCTTTTTTTTTTTGTGTCTGGGTTTGACTCCTGGTATCTTCAATCAGCTTTTTAAATTTTATATAAAATCAGTTCATAAACACCCTTTTAAAGGCTCTTAGTGCTGTATTTGTAGCTCTGTGGTACATAACTGCATACATACTACTTGACTGTATGACTTGGATTTCAGTGTTTGTGAGGTTAATCTTTTTGTTAACCCTCTCTAGGCCTTGCCTGACAAAGATGGAAAAAAATGCCTTTTTCTTATAAAATGTCTTGATAAAACCTTTGAGATCAGTGCCTCTGATAAAAAGAAGAAGCAGGAATGGATCCAAGGTGAGGTTTTAAAAATGCTAGTTATGTGAAAGTTAAGGTTAATGGAGTTCTTACAACYGTGCTTTACTAAGATTTTAAATTCTTGGACTTGTGATTTTTTTGACGTCTGTTTTGGGCACATGGATCTTTAAGGGATCTGAGACTCAGGAAGAACTAAGGATCCATGTAAGGGAAATAGGTTTTTGTCATGTAGATGCCTCAATTTAGGCAGCCATAGTTAAAATGAAATGTAATTGCTGTTTTTCCATATTGGATATACTTCTAGGGATAAGGAAGGGAAGCAGTGTTGTAAATTGTTCCTTTTGGGAAAGAAAGGGAAGCTTGTTCATTTTGGCACTATAAAATACTGACTTTGCTTTTACAGTTTTGCTTGAAGTAGTATGGTTTGGTGAGCTGAGGATAAGGCTGGGAATCAGGGCTTTCTTTTCTATTCCCATGGTAAAGTAAAATCCTCCTTTGAGACCTTCCCAGATATGTGCTGTGGGATGGGTACATCCATCTGCAGAGTGAGGTAGAAGTGCTTACAAAGCTGTTGTAGCGAGTGCCTTTGAAGTACATGCAGCAGTTAAATACTTGGAGCTGTAAGCTTTAATTTGCAAAGGAAAGCAAATGAAATAAATAAATAAATGAATTCCCTCTTTACCTGCAGCATGTGTTTCATTGCACCAAAGTCAGATGTATGACAAATGATTCAAAAGTGGGTATTTTTTTCATGGTTGTAGTAAATGAATAAAATATCAAAATAATCTGCCACTCCTTCCTCAGTTTTGTTCTCTTAAATACTTTCTCACTGCATGCAAATGAATGAGGACTGCTGTCTTACTGGGAGAAAATTTTCCTTTGGAGCATCTGTAAGCATAGAGGGTTTAAGGTTGGCTCTCGGGAGGAGAGATAACATCTCTCTCCTTGATTGGTGTCACTGAATCTAGGTAGTAAGAAATCATGAAGTGTTGGGGGTTTTTCTAAGTGACTTGTATGTCCATGGCCTGTTAAAAATTAATATTGCATAATGCAATGGAATTGCCAGACCTTATCCTTGTGGCACACAGCCAATACTGAGCACTAAGGGTCTTCCACTTCTAGTTTCTGCTGACAGCCAGCCTGATGAGAATTAGGACAACTGACAACAGTTCTTTCTGATTTAAAAATATCAGAAAACCCCAACCCATGAAACAGCACAGCACTGTAGGTCATTTCACAAAATCTATCCAGAAAGTTTAGCATTTCCCTTCACTGGTGCTCTCCCTTTGCCTCTCCCTTCAGCCATTCAGACCACTGTGAACCTGCTGAGGGCAGGGAGCCCTCCGCCCCACAAGGAAGCGCGCCAGAAACGGAAGGAGTTGCGCCAGAAGCTGCTGGCTGAGCAGGAGGAGCTAGAGCGGCAGATGAAGGAACTGCAGGCTGCCAACGAGAACAAGCAGAGGGAGCTGGAGACTGTGCGGAAGGTGGGATTGGGAGCTGCCTAGAGCTCAGTCCCTGTGGTTGAGTTGGGCTTCTTGGAGTGTACCTGGTCATCTCTGTCCTGTTCAGGCACATTGAGCAAACTCCTCCAGAGAGCTGCGCTTTTGTCAGGGCCCTGTACTAAGCAGGGGATTGTCAGACTGGTGGAGAAGAACCTGCCAGATCTGAGTGCTGTCTGGGGACAGGAAAGACCAATATTTATTGTTCGTTGCTTGTGGGTTTTTTTTTCCTTTTCTGTCAGATCCATCTGTCAAACTTGGGTTTTCCATGAAGATTTTCTTCTRTAGTTTTCCCAAGTTATGTTACGTGATTTGTAGTTTATGGGAACTGTTCTCTTCACATATATGTAATTTCTGTAATTTCTAYCTTTGAAAATATGYGGCTTTTTTGCTGTGGGAGGTTTTAGTATGGAGTGTGCCTTGAAAACTGCTTAGAACCCAATATTCAAATTCAAACCTGCCCTACTTGCTGCCTCACATTTTGGCTGCTGAGTCCCTGCTGCTACAGCAGTCCACATCTTGCTTTGTGCTTATTGGTCACTTATTGGCTCTATTGGTCACCACTGCCTTCCTAAATTAATGCAATTTATGATGAGTCTGCATCATTGTTTGAGTTTTTCATTAAAAAAAAACCCACTAATTTTAGCCAATAAAAAAAACTTCAGTGATCTTTGCAGCTGTAAATGTTGTGAGAGCACTTCAGAGGTTTTGTGGCAAGTAAAACCATGCAAAATAGACCTTTTTAAAAGTCTTGTCATTGTCACAAGGAGACACAATTATTTGTCACACATTTGCCACAATTTGTGGCAAGGAGAAATTTGTCTTAATTTTATTAACTTGCACTGACAGTCCTGTTATAGGTGTTATTCTGTTTGCCTTAAAGGGAGTCTGACAGTGGAGAACCATTTTTTATTTTAATTTTGGCATTGTAGTCTACCATGTGTTAAAGAGTCAGAATGTAAAATAGACAGTAAAGGATAGTCTGTGTTGTCTGCTAGGGGTAGTTATAATAATACCTGTTAACAGAACTCATTATGCTGGATTTCTATGATGCTTACTTTGTAGAAAAAAAGTTAGGAGGCAAGACAACATAGGAGCAACCCCAAAAGAGCAGCAGGAAGTTGACAGGCTCCAGGGAGTTTTATAAAAATCCCAGTGGGTAAGCTTAAAGAGAGTTGTGGCCAGAAGCATCTTTCGATGTGGGCTGGATTARAATGACTTCTCAAGGAAAGCAGCTTAGGCTCTGACATAAACTACTGCACTTCGCCTAAGTGGAACTGGGGGGAATTTCGTTGTTGGAAGAACTGAAAGTGTTTGATTAGTTAGAAAAATGTTCTTCAAGGAAAAGGCTTTGTAAATGCTTCAGGAAACTGGATTGTTCTGGAAAGGTAAGAGGTTGATTTCCTCCTGATGGCAGTGAGCCACCATTTATGCAGCATCTGCCAAAGTGCACTCTGGGACTGGCTTGTATTCTCACAGCTCCTGCAGTAGAGTATTTCAAAAGAATTTTTGTCTAAAATAGACTTTTTTCATGTTTTTAATGCAATTTTGAGATGTGCGCAGTGAACAGACAGATAAGTTTTTCTTTATGTGAGAGCATGCACAAGAAATGTGCACCCTTTCTGTTTCCATTTGGGGTCTTGCATGGGCTTTGGAACTCTGTGCTCTCTTAACACCTGCTGGAATGGTGTGTTCCTGTTGATTCTCCCCTCCAACACTTGTAGCTTTCCCGTGCAGTGCACAGTTCCCAGTAACCTTACGTGCCAGGAGCAGCTGTTTGTGGATTAAGCAGGAAGTTGCTGAAATAGAGTGGGCAAACAGCATTTTCTTCTTGAGCTCTCTGGCAGTGGCCTGGCACTTGCCCTTGTATGTGAATGTGCACATTTGCCCTCTGAGCTCAGTATTGGCAATGCTTGCCTAATTTCAAAGCAAGGAAGGAAATCTAGAGATTTCACTAGCATAGGCATCTTGGATTTGACTAAAGTTACATGCTTTTAAATGTCCGGCAGAGGAGGAATTCTGCTTCTAAAACACTGGCATCATTTAAGCCTTGTGAAGGACAGCAGTTCTGTGCTATGTTCTGCAACATAAAACCAGAACCTTGAGCCTTCTCCTTCACTTCTTCCCATCTATTTCAGACCAGAGTGATACTACAAGCACATCAACAGTGAAAGTTTTACCTTGGCAATTTTAATCATTGAGGCATCTCATTAGTTTACCTGGATTGTATGAGGGAGGATGTTTTAAATGTGGTACGTTCAAAAGCATGACAGAATCATAGAAAGGTTTGGTTTGGAAGGGACCTTAAAGATCATCCAGTTCCAGTCCCCCTGCTGTGGGCAGAGACACCTTCCACTATCCCAGGTTGTTCAGAGCCCCATCCAGCCTGGCCTTGAACACTTTCAGGGATGGGGCATCCACAGCTTCTCTGGGCAACCTGTCCCAGTGTTACCTTTCTAGGCTTGCTCCAACAAGTCCATGTCATTTTTGTGCCCTGCTCTTATTAAAGGTCAGTGGAAACAATTTCTACAGCCCAGCATATTAAAAAAAGAAGCATCAGATAAGTTTCTTAGGAAAATTCTGTGTAAGAATGGTTTTGTTTTCAGTGTTGGTAAAGTTTAGGCTGGTATTTGAAGATTTCTAACTTTACATGGAGTGAAATCCAGATGTAGGAAAAACTGTAACAACTGTATTTGTGAAATCAAGATGCAAGAAAAGTAAAATAAGATAGAAGAAAGTGGAGAGGTACCAGCAGCTCTTTAGCTCTGACTAGGCTAATTTTCCCCCTAATTTCAAGTGATGATTATCAACCAGGATTTTATTTACTTGGCAGTTTAGGGGATGTTAGAAGGATGATTCACAGCAGCATAATCACTTATTCTAGCCAAAGTTTGTGGCACTTCTGCTTTTCCATGGCAATTTGGTGCTTCTCGTTTCTGCAGGAACTCTATGCATGCTGGCATGTTTTCACTATTGGAACTCCTATGCAGTCCTTAAAATGTGGTTTTCTGTAATAGTTTTCTATACCATATGAGGCAGAGAAGGAAATACAGTGATTTCTATCACTTGTGCAAAGCAGAACTCAGAGGAAACTTGAAGATAATTGCCTTTTCATTGGTAAATTTGAAATTTTCTTGCAAACAATCAATACGGAAAATTATATTTACAGACTGAGAATAGCCTCAAATGTTTAAAAAACTCAGAATGGTGCCTTAATGCTTTTGAAGGCTTCTTTGATTTTTGTTAAAAACCAAAAAGCATGAAATAAAGTTCCATTCCCTCAAAATTATTTAGTTTTGACTAACTGTGTTTTTCCTTCTTCCCCCCTGCCCCMCACCCTTTTCTTCCAGCAACTGGAAGCAGCAGCTGCCCGTGCTGCTGAGGAGGAGAAGAAAAGACTTCAGACTCAAGCTGAATTACAAGATCGCTTCAGTTTGGAGCTGGAGAGAGAAAAAATGGTGGGTAGTGCAGGAGGGTTTTTGCTACTATTACACATATCTGTAGTATTACATATTACACATATTACACGTATGTGTTCAGCAAGGGCTTCCCTCACAGGCAGTCACTGAAAGGCTTCCCTGGATTTTGCAGGAGGCTGGAGAATGCAACCTGCATAGCATTAAGATGTAGGAATAAAGTATTTTTACAGGTGAATTCAAATACTGGAACAGCTCAGCTACCATCTGTACAGCATTCAAAATTTAAATAATATTGGAAAATTGGGGAAAAATTGGCTATTTGAAGGATAAATGCACACTGAATTTCTCCTTGCAGTTTTCAGAGACAGAAAACCTGAGGCTAGTACTTCCTGGATGAATAAGCGAAATAATTTGGGCAAAATCAAAATGCATTTTATGTGTTCCTAGAACTGCTTTTTTATGCTGTGTGTTCTTTTACAACTATATACAAACAATAAAGAAATATTGTTGCTTTACAATTAATGTTACTGTTCAGCTACACTAAGGATTCCCCAAAGAGCTGGTTTTCAGTTTTCAAGGGCTTTATCAGATTGCTCTGCTAGCTGGGAAAAAGCAGTAGAAAAAATAAAGTGAATGTGATGGGACATCTCAGAACATTAATGCACACAGTGCTGCTTTATAGGCTGAGCATGAATTCCTGAATAAAATCCCTTTCTGGGTCACTGGGATTTGGGTCAGCTGAGGGGAACAGGCAGCAAACCAGTGGGGCAGGACATACCAACCTCCTTAGCTGTTTTCGAACTCTTTATCCATCGTGTGCCATCATCCAGATACTAAGCGTGTGAGATAAGCTGCTGCCAAGGGGGGAGTGAAAACAGTGACATTGAATCAGCCTGACCTTCGTGTCTGGCCGCGTACAACCTTTGTCTTCCTTCAGTTGTGTATCTGTAAACTAAACAACCAAGATCAAGCTGACTGAAATGAGGTTTGAACCCCTGTAAAAGTTCCGTGCTGCAGGAAGTAGGGCAATGTAAGTAGCCTGTAGTAGTATTTATTTTTTTTAAGTGCTCTTAGTTCCACATCTGCGGATCTAGCCTCAGTTTTGTCAGTTCTGCTCTGCAGACAACAGGAAAAGGTTTGTCTTAGAAACCATAATCTGAGGGAAACCTGGCAATTCCTTTAAAAATTGGAAAATGTGAGTTGAATGGTAGCTCACGTGTTCCAAATTTATGCTGCTAGGTAAGACAAAAAATGGAAGAGCAGGTTGCTCAGAAATCATCTGAACTGGAGCAGTATTTACAAAGAGTACGTGAACTGGAGGAAATGTATACACAGCTACAGGAAGCACTGGAGGATGAGAAACAGGCACGTCAAGATGAAGAGACTGTGAGGAAACTTCAGGCCAGGTATGGCTTTGACCAGGTAGAAAAGGGTTTCAGTTCCAACAGTGAGTGCCTGTGCCATGCTACTAGTGTTGTTTGCCTCTTGGACACACTGCTGGAATGGGGCTCTACCTTCAAGTCCAAACACTGGACAGATTTGATTTTTCCTTAAGATATGAAGGCTGAAGCAAGTATGTCTGATTAGTCCTTGGCAGAGGGCGTGGTCTGTAATTTTGGAAAACCAGGTGCACTTACTTTTCCATCAGGTGTCATGCATGTCAGCAAAGGAAAAACTAAGAACACTCTACAGGCTTTTCAATAGTTTATTTTATAAAGCAGTAACTGTAAAAATTACTTTCTGCTGTATTTTATTGCAGGTTTAAACTAATGATAAAGGGCTAAGTTTCCTCTTGCTCACATGGGCTGTGTTTAGTGTAGTTTTTTTCTTCATATATTCAGTTTTAAGATAATGAAGATAACTTTTGCATGCCTCTTTTCTTCTGTGGTTCTGTGTTGTGTATTTGCATTATAGATTACATTTTCTGAATAGCCCTTTGTAGCAGTCAGACTGCTTGCACTGCTGGCATGACATTGAAGGCAAACCAACTAACAATAACTTTTTCGCTGCTTCCCAAGCTTTTATTTTTTTAACAGTACTTTCTTTGCCTTTAAAAAACAACAAAAAATTTGGCTTTGCTACATGGATTCAGCTATCTTGAGTGCAGTTAACATCACAATCCCCATTGCAGATTGTTGGAAGAGGAGTCAGCAAAGAGAGCTGAACTGGAAAAATGGCATTTGCAGCAGCAACAGACCATTGAGATGACAGAAGCAGAGAAGCAAGAGCTGGAAAACCAGAGAATGATGAAGGAACAGGCTCTTCAAGTGGCTATGCAGCAACTGAAACAGCTTGAATTGGAAAGGAAGGAGGCCCTCGAGCAGTACAAGGTGAGCTGCTCTGGTCATCAGCCTCTCACCTTTATCCATAGATTGACTGACTTTGAAGTTGTTGAATTTTGTGCTTCTTTAAGGATTGTTACGGCACAAGAGGTAGGATAGTTGGGTTGGGTTTTTTTTTCCCTAGTTTTTAATTGGTTTCAGTAGCTCAGTAATCAGTAGATACATTTGAAGAGGATCTGTTTCAGACACACTTCTGAATCTCTTGTATTTATTTTTGTCTCAATTTGCATGCAGGCCAGCTCAGTCATGTCCTGAAATACCCTGTGTACATTTGCCTTCTACTGCAGACTCACTTCATGTGCAGTCCCACTGCTGCCGTAACTGAGTGCCTCTTGCTTCTGAGTTAGTTATTCTTGCAGTGTTTTGATGATTTCACGGCACAGCATTGTCTTTTACAAATGAAAAACGTGTTTACGGTAGGGACCTCTCCTCAAAAATGTATTTAAGCACAGAATGGAAGTTAAGGATAGGTAGGAATTAGCTCAGATTCTCAATGTGTAGCAGTGCCTCATGTCCCAAATGCCAGGCCTGCTCGTTGCTCCATTGAGTGTTTTTAGGGAAGGTCAGTAACTGTTCATGGAAGAAATAAGAGCCAGAATCCAACAAATACAGAGGCTGAAGTGCTGCACACTTTCCAGGGCTAGAGAAGTGTTGATCCTGCATTTATTTAGGTCAGGAAAGAAAGGCTGGCTGAGTTTGTGTTTAACAGGGAAGGGTGTTTATGGGGTGAGCTCTTTGAAGGACACACCAGGGAGCTGTCTCGCCTGCTATAGAGCACAAATGCTGCAGTCACTGCGGGCAAGGGCCCAGATGGGGTAGTTGTGGCCACTTTACAACTTCTCATGGTGGTGTTACATCTCACACCATCACTGGATTGYGTCTGGCTAGTACTTGACTCATTTTGTTTTTAGCTGACATCTCAAACTTTTTGTATGCAAAGCATCATTTACTACTCCAGATACAGATACATAAAATAACCAAAAAAGAACCCACTAAACAATTATTTGAGAAATAATTAAAACATTCTAGCCTTCCATTTGGAATTGCCTAAATGACAAGTTAGACTGAAGAATGAAGACTAACCTCATTACACAGCTACAAAATCTTGTACAACCTTGTTATTTTGGGATTCTGGTTCAACAACTTTTTTTTTTGGAGGGGGAGGGAGGGGTGGTGATGGTGACTAAATTACTTAGGATGGTTCCGCACTAAACAGAGGGCTGGCTGAATTAGAATGGTTCTGGTTTTTTATTTAAAGGATGTTTTATCTCGTTATATAAAACAGGCTACAGTTCTTGTTTTCAAGAGGTTGTGTCTTCTTTCAGGAGGTTAAGAAGAAGTTGGAAACGGCAGCTAATAACACCAAGAGTTGGAAAGATAAAGTGGCTCATCATGAGGGATTGATTCGACTAATAGAGCCAGGTGAGTTATCAACAGAAGTTACAAAATATGTATTAATTCTGTCTCATGTCCTGCCTTTTCTTGTAGCTCACTGATTTCACAGCAGCCTGTAGATATCACCCTTTGTGACATCTGCTGGTGGTAACTTTGTCTTTACCTCTCCTGCCCCTGCTGTAATGATCTTCTATCACTGTTTGCTTCTTTAATGTTTAAAACAAAGCAAGGATCATCCTTAACATTGCATTATGAGTGTGTGATGTTCCTGTCAGAAACACCTATCTCCAATATTGCTCTCTGTCTTCCAGGCTCCAAGAATCCTCACTTAATCACAAACTGGGGCCCAGCTGCCTTCACTGAAGCTGAGCTGGAGGAAAGACAAAGGAGCTGGAAAGGGAAAAAAGCCACTTCCGAGTGATGGTGGCAGCTGACACGTGGCCCTGAACAGGAGCCCACCTCCCCTCGTTCTGCTTTGCACAGAGCAGCCTCTCGCTTACAAAGTTTAGTTTGCTCAGCAGGTTGGGCCTTTCTCCTCACGAAGTGCCGTTTACCACGCTGGAGTATCTGCTCAGAGCTCAGCCATTAAAGTGTGTGGTGTCTGATAGGACATTTTGTCTGTTTTCCCTCACATTTCCAAGACTTAGCAGGTGAAGATCAGGGTTGAAATGTAGCTTGTGACAGTTGTTTTTCTACTAGTCTGTAATAGTCTGACAGCAGCTAACCAATTGGACAGCATTGCTTTCATGCCAAAAAGCGAGGGAAGCAGTTGTTCACTGGTTCAGTTACTACACTTTCAACCCAAGATAAATCAGTCCTTAAAGTTGTGTCCAACTCTGAGATGGATAATTATCTTTCCTTCCACTGAGCCTGCTTTTACTTTAGCTCTGTTGCTCTCTACCCGATGCTTACTGCWCAGACACATTCGCTTAGCAAGAGGGGACTAGCATCACTGGCTACCTGCTGCCTGCCTAGATTTGGTGTCCTGTTTTCCTCTGCAGGAATCCAAACAAAAGAACTGGAGATAGGCATGTAGAAAATGCTGCTGTAAGACATTTGGAAAGAGTGACAGTGGAAGACCGGTTTTTGTGCAGTCTCATACTTGAGAAGCACTAGATAAAGCCGTGAGCACTCTCTTCATAGTTTAAAAGATGCAATTTTGGCTCACATATTTCTGAGGCAGGTGAATGTTAGGTGGTAGCTCATACAGGGCAAATGTCCTCTGTCCAAGCTGTGTTTGTGCAAGAAATCTGTAACATCTCACCATATTCAGATGTAGCACTTTTGTCATACTTTTAATTGGAGGCTGGATTTAAAGAAAGATATTTTTTTTAAATGATAAATGTGTAGTGATAATGCTCTAAAAAAAAAAAATAAATTCTTGTCACTAAAGTAACTTCAGTTTTTCTAGTACCAAGGCTTCCCAAGGAGCCTGCTGCTCTGCCTCACCACTCTCACCTGGGACAAAGCTAGTTATTTCTGTTTTTGTAGCGAAAAGGAACAGCCCTGTGACTTTGCTTTGCAGATCTCCCACACCAGGCATTGCTCAGTAAAACAGGATTCCTGCCAACTTGTACAGACATTTTAAGAACCGCCCCCTTGAGGAGCAGGTGCCCACTGGTGTGGCTTGTGAGCAGCTTTGACTGTACCCTGGGCCCTCCAGCCCTCAACTGCTTGTTAGTTCAGCTACATGTTAAATTATTTTTAGTAAATAATTTTTTCAGGATCATAAGCAGTGTGCAGCACTGTGATACTTGGAAGTGCAGAAGCTGTACAGAAGTGGTGTCTGGATTTGGAAGTCAATAGCATTTTATTTACCTATTAACTAAGACTCAAATACTGTACCTTCTCAGACATTTATTCTCTGGTTATATTTTTATACTAATAGAAATGTTTAATGTATCAGTAAATGGAGTGCAGATTAGAATGGCAGGAAAAACCAGGATCTTCCTATTTATAATCAGTGTACAGGAAAACAATAGTTCCTTAAGCTTGGTAACAATTTTTTAAATTGATGACGTTTACAGAAGCAATGTGAAGAAAAAACCCGACCACCTGTAGTAGAATTACAAATGTATTCAAGTTTAAACTTTGCTAAAGGAGCTGAAACAGTTTTTAAACTACCAAACATTTTATGTGGAGAGCAGAAGATGTATTGGGGCTAAACTTGTTTAATTTTTCTAACACTCTTTATTTTGGACAATGGATTTTTAAGAACATCAATTGATGCATGTATTAATATTTTTTATTGTTCTTTAGAAGTGGCTGTTTAGTAAAGTAATATAAAGTCATTTATGTTTTGGAATTAATTGATGTCTTTTTGCCTGGGTTTTTCTTGGGTTACTGGGGTTTAAAATCCAGTAACTGTTGTGTGGAAATTGTTTAATAGTCAGATTAGTGGGATGTTGGAAGCAAAAATAAAGGCAGTGGTCACACAGTAACACAAACTGATTTGGTTTAGCAGCACTCCTGCTCTTAGATGTTCATATTCAGTACACCTTGATGCAGCCCAGGACCAGGGCTGGGCAGGCTCAGCAGGGAGCTATGGGGACACCTGGCACAGCAGCCCCCCACGTGTCAACTCTGTCTGGAGTCAACTCTTACTCACTGGCTAAGAGGAAATGAGACAAGGTTCCTTTTCGCTTTGTTGTCCCTGCTCGCTCTTGACAAATTTAGAAAGCTTTGCTCAGTAAAGCTGGGGGGAGTGGCTGGTTAAAAAATGAAACGATTTGCATGCTGAGCAGAAATAGCATTTGGAATGAGCCCTTAGAGCAACACTAAACAGCATCCAAAGGGAGCACAGAGCTGTGAGTCCGCAATGGTCATGGAACAGAGAGGATGGAAAGCTGCMTCCCACTGTGCCATCATTTCCTGTGGGACAAGGCTCACAGTTCTCCTATTCCCTCAAACCAATGAGCCTGCACATGGTGAGGATATGCCAATGAGCTGGGGGATTGGGGATGGCTCTCTTCTGCCCAAGGAGCCCTATACATCCTGAGCATACACAGAGGCCAGGGGAAAGCAGTGGCTGCCATTCCTGAACCCTTGGGAGATGGTGGGARATGCACTGGCGGGCACAGCCCGTTTATTTTGTCTGCCAGATTCAGGTTTCTTTTACCTGCTGCTGCTGGAACAGTCCATGTTTTCCCCTGTATAAAAAGATGGGTTTTTTTTCAGTGTGGCCTTTTTTTTCCTTTTTTTTTTTTTTCCTCTATGATCATTTTATGGAGCTGGTGTGTGAGCCGTGGACACTGGATCACACATTCCTGAACTGTAACAGGCTAGTTTCCAGCATGTCTTGTTACTTCTGCTGCACTGTCCTGCATGAACAGACAAAAGCAAAGCCTCTGTGGGCGAAAGAAACAGTGTCTTAGGATAGAATATGTACCCGGGGGGTACCCCAACCCCCAAAGAAGCACCTGTTTGTCCCTGTTAATGGCAGGGGGGTTGGAAGCAGATGCTCATTAAGGTCCCTTCCAACCCAAGCCACGCTATGATCCTATGGCTCAGTCATGCAGGACACCTGGAACAGGAGCTGCGCCATCCATCTCAGTAACAGTGGAAAATAACTGCTCTGATTTTTATCTCAATTATGTCAAGCAGTTTTTTTTTCAAACAATTTTTGAACAAACCAGTGCAGGGCCAGGAAAGGGGATATCCATGAGGTAATTTAGCTGYTTTGGGAAAAGAGGTCATTATTTGTTCCCAAAGGAAGGGGTGCTGTACACTTGCCCTCTCAGAGAATGACAAACTCCTTCAACACTTAAAAATTTTTAGGGGCTTTCTACCTCTSTCAGTACCAAACTGGTTACTTGATAATTGTGTCTTTTTTTTTTTTTTCTTAAATCTTTTGGGATCACTGTGGCACCCCCTGCACCCCGCCATGGGCTGCCCACTGGAGTTCAGGACCGCGGGGCCAGAACATGCTGAGCCAGGACCCAGGGTTGTCTCATCACTGGGCTCCGGCTGCCACCTCGTGGTGGCCTGACCCTGCGTCTCCTGACTGCGTTCCTTCGGTGTCCCGGCCTGTGCAGATGTCCTGGGACAGCCCCTCTCCCACTGCTTTTCCCGCAGCAGCGTTTGCCAGGTAAAAGCACTGTGCTCCGGCTCTGCGGCTGCCGCACCATCACCACCTCCGTGCCATTGCCACAGCAGCTCTGTCCCTGTCTCCATGAGCCTGGTTGCTTCCTCTGTTAGCTCGGGATGCCCACAGACATCCTGTCAGCCTAGGAAAAAAGGGATTTTTTTGGTTATAACTGGCCTTGGAGCTAATTCAGACATATTTTCCAAACAAAGCCCACTGTCCTGCAGAAGCACAATGTACAGTGAGATCCAGCATCCAATAATCTCACATCCACACGCGCAGCCTGCACTGCCATGTGGCTTTGCTAAGGGCAGGAAAGCAGAGCAAGGAAAGATGTGTAAGGAAGGTTACTTCCCTGCGAACAGCGTTTTCCCAGGTGCCTCCTGTACATGCCCTGAGGCTGCAAGATCGGGGCTGGGTGAAGGACTGCCCAGCATCACGTACTCTCCTCTTTGGGGCAGGACTTGAACTTATCCCTTCAACCTGCAAACAGAGTGGGCATGTGTGAGGAGAGGGTATCAGCCGGTGGTTTAGTACTAATGTGGCCGTGAGGGCCAAAATAAAATGCAAACAGAAACTTTGTGACACTTGCTGAATTTAGAAACTATTGTGGCTTCCACACATTTACTCTGACTGGGAACTTCAGCAAGCCAGCAACCAGAAGTGCAAAAAAGCACTATGTTATGGACTGGCTTCCTGAGTGTCAAAAGTACCCATCCTTCAGAAAAAAGAAGGTGCAGTGGTTATTTTAACACATAAATGAAACAGTATTTGGCAAATGTAGCTGCATCTCACCTCCAAGAGAAATTAAACGTGGAACAGTAGGATAACAGTTAAATTAGAAACACCCTGAAAAGCCTTGAGAGGGAGATGTAATGAGGCAGGTTTTAACTCCTGTATGCACAACCCCAGAAGAACCACCTGACAGGGGCCCTTCGCCCACCTTTTTTCTCCTATTTTAGCCTGCCTAATGGAGGAAATGTAAAAGGATATGAGCAGCAGGGTCAGAGGAAAGCCCATGGCAGACTGGGCAGAATGTTGATAAAAACAAAAAAGAAATCACAATCTCCAGAACAACTACACTCAATTTTCTCCATCAACCATTACTTTAAATTCCTTCATAAATAAAACCACAAAAATATAACCTTTCTATCCCACTCAGTGTGCTCATTGCTCACATCACTCCTCTGCCTATCAAAGGAGCTTGATCTAGCACCAGCTTTACCCACTGTTCTTACTTTAATTGCTAATTAATAGAGCCAATTAATTGGTAATTATTAATTAATAAGCTACTTTCCATGGCTGGAGCACACAAACAGCTGTTACAGGACCTGGGCCTAACCATGCCTTCATGCACTCACCTGATGATGCTCGTGTTGTCATCTTTTTTTTCTGAGCACACAGCAGTGAACACATTGGTATCTCAGCTGGGATTAAAAACCCATGCATAGACAAGAGACAGTTTCAAAAGCAGCCTGGACTTGGTGTTGACACAAATTAGCTGTTTCAGTGCCTACCAAAGCATGGGGATTTCTCTTTCCACCCAGAAGAGTCTTGTGTAGCTCAGCCCTGACACAGGGTGCAAGTGCTGGGGAAGTGCAGGTCCTCTGGGGTGCTGGCTCCTCAGTCCTGATGAAACAAGACAAAAACCCAAACAACTTAAAAAGCTTATTTATGTTCAGACTTTGCTTAGATATTTTCAGAAAGTTCCTCTCACATTGGGACTGAATTTTTGCATTTGGAACAGTGCGAGGTGGTGTTTTCTGAACTATTTCTTTTATCAATGATGTTTTGGGCCATTTTACTCTCTCCAAGCCATGAAGTCACCAACCACATCTCTGTGAGGGAGGAACATGCCCCATTTTCCAGCCAGGCTCTCTCCCCTATCAGAAAATTGTGTGGCCAGGGACTGCTTTTTCCCAGACAGGAGGTGGGAAATGATGGGGGCAGGGTCCCCACCAACAGGAGAGTGATCCCCTATGGGAATGGAGGTGGCACCTTCTGTGTTTGCTGGTTTGCTTTAGCATGGCTATTATTACCTGCCTGTGAAGGCTGCACCAATGTCCAAGAGGGTCTCTACTGGCCCATGGAACTTCCTGGGGAGATGGCTGGCCCAAAACAACCAACACCCCAAGCCTGCTCTCCCAGAATTACTGCACGTGGCCCCTCTGGCAAAAGAAACTCATGTGCCCATGCTCCAGCACACTCTCCTCACTGTCACCGTTACAGATGGCAAGAACCAAGCCTACAGCTGCTCTCAGTCCACCTCCAGCCAGCAAAACCTTCCGCCAGCCGGTGAGAATCCAGAGCCTATATTCCTTGAAATCATACTTCAAGGAACAGTGCAGGCATGGGGAATGATACAAGGACCAGCCTATCAGAGGGAAAAGGGACAAGAAAACACCCCCAGGGTGCTGAACACCTGTGCTGGGCCAGGCTGCTCCCCAGCAGCTGTGCTGTGGGTGCAGAGCAGGGACCAGTCCTGCACAGCTTCGGAGGCTGCTCTGCTTCTGCCTCCCCCCCCCCCCSCCATTCCATTCTGACCAGTCCCTGCCACTGTGGGGCTGCCAGCGGATCTGAGGTGTGAGCTGTGTACTGCAGGCTTGTGCAGCTATTCCAGCAGAAAGCTCCCGGGTGAGTGCTGAGCCCGGGGCAGTCTGTGCTGGTTCCGGGGAAGCGAGTGCTGAGCCCACACCACCTCCAGGAGAGCAGCGCTGCACAAACCACTCGCTGCTCTTCCAGTTTCCCATTCTTGTCTCATTTTCATCTCGCCCCTCCCGATGAGCCCCAAGTCGCTACGTGCCGAGGCAGGATGAGAGGACTGACACGATTTTTCCAAAGCCCCCGGCGAGCCGTGGGACCCGCAGCCCAGGGCTCCGCCAGCTCCTGCCCCGGCAGGCAGCGGCAGCCGCTCCCCCCGAGACAGGGAGAACAATGATAAAATACCAGCTCTGCCGCAGGAATGCGGGAGATACCGTGGCGGGGGGCCCTGCAGAATCCGGGCAGGAGTTGCTCACGGCTTGGCCGCAGCCCAGGGGATGCAACTCAGGCCGCGCTGTCGCCGGCCGCGGTGGCGGGGGCTGCGCGGGGCCCCCCCGGGCGCCGGACAGCAGATGGCAGCCGGACACCGCCGCACGGCCCCGGAGAGTCCGGGGAGCACGGCCCTGCTCGGCAGGCTCCTAATGAATCACATCTGCGGGGCCGGCCCGGGAAGGCAGGGCCAGGGATGCGGCACCGCGCGGGGGTTTGTTTGACCGTGAAGCTGGTCCCACGCTCGGAGCCGTGTCACTCGTGTACGTGCAGCACCACACTGCTGCTGCTGCAGGGCAAACCACACCGAACAGCAGCCAAAACCTCGGCGTGGGGCTCTGGGAACCTGCAAAGGGAAGGAGGAAGAGGAGCGGGCGGGTGGTGACCAAGGCTGTCAGCACAGCCAGGGATCAGAGTTCGCGAGCTTTACCCAAGGCTGGGCAGCCGCGATGCCCGTGCTCCCTCCTGCAGGCACATAGCTCACCCCGATCAGTTCAGGTGACTGAAACCAGGGTCTGCACCCGCTGCTGCCGAGGCCTGACACACCAATTCGAGAGTCATTACTCTGTTGGGTAACCTTATCACTCAATAAGGAACTTTAACCCAATTTTAAAATGTAGGGGAGGTTAAGGTGGATTACCTTAGCTCAACTGCTCGTGTCAAAAGCCCTTGAGAAGTGGGACTGGAGGTTTTCCCCTCCAGATACTTTTTGTTGGCTCACAAAATCTTTGTTTTTTTCTTAGCTCAGACACCAAGAAGGGGAGTTTTCGGCTTCCAAAAATAAATCAAAGACACTACGATGCCTGCAGGGTATTTGTTTCTCCATAGGAACATGAACCTGGTGGTTTAGTTTAAGGGAGGCTAAGCTAACTCTCACATTTTCTACATTCCTCTTTTTCCTGAYGGATCAAGATCGACAGTTTTGAACTGTTGTTTTAATGAAAACCAACCAATTCCTGAGAGGGTTTCCTGTTTTAGAAAGATGATATTTCAGAGCTACAAAATTCCAAACAATTTGACTTGCTATCACCTTCATCAGGTCCCTTAACCTTCTTCTGCCTCAGCTGGGCATTGATGAAAGATGGGTCATGTTTACCCACCAGAAAAGCACCCAGACATCTGCAAAATAGTACACTATCCTTAAAAAGAGGGCTCTTGAAATGATACCCTGAACCTGTGTCCAAAAGGTGCAAATCAGAGATTGCTGAGTGAGGCCTTGGAAGGGCCACTTAACACCAGGGCATGACCAGAGCCTCCTGGCACTGGCCCCTGCCAGCCCCTCGAAGCATCACCCCCATCTCCTCCACCTTTATTCCTCATCCCTGGCAGTCAGAAAACCTCCTTGGAGCTCTTGGGTAACAACCACAAATTGAATCAGCATTTAGCCATCTAATTAACTGTAGTTAAATCACCACATAGCTACTACTCCCAAAGCTGCTAATGGAAATTAGGCCAGCACTCCAGCCAAGCCCTTGTTTGTCATCTCTGGTTCAAGCTGGTGAATCAATCCCAGGTAGGTTTCCCCATCCCTTGTGCACGTGAAGCCCTGAAAACATCCTGGGGTAAATCTAAATGTGACCAACTTCAACAATGCATCTCTGGAGAGTTTTCAGAGCTTAAGCTCTGCAACTCAGAGCCACAAGTCTGGGAGTATGTGCAGATCTCTTGCTGAAGGTTCAAGTATTTGTTTTAAAGTCACAAGTACAACAGGACTCCCTGAATAAATTTTTGGTCCAGGAAACTAAACTTCAGCTCTCAGTTTTGTTAATTCTACAATTCAAAATGTTTTGCAGGGTTATTTTTTTTTTTACTTTTAAAGGCAATTATAATTTTCCAACTGTTCTAACAATTTAGAGGCTCTAATATGTAAAAACACTTTCTTGTGTTACGAAAGTTTCTCCAAATTGTAAAATGCATTACAAAAGGGAGGGAGCCAGCCCCATGTACACTGTTTGGGCTGCTCTTCTGGCACAAAATGACCACTGGCAGCTTGCAAGGCATGGAAAAAGGACTTATCACCCAGATCCCTCAAACAGTCAAAACTGCCTTAGCTGGGCAAACCAGCACTGATTTCTCAGAACTAATCCCTGGAGGTACAGGTCTGCTGATGTCAAGCCTTGCCGTGTTATTGCAGTGCTCACAGCCCTTCAAACATTTTATCTGCAAGCCCCAGTCCAGCCCCCTGCATAGAGAAACTCTTCAAATGCTTCTGATAGGGATGGCTGGGTCATGGGAATATCGAGGGCTCTCAATGCCTCCCCACTCACCTGTTCCAACTGTGCAGCCAAGGGTTTTAGGGATCTCTGAAATTCACACTGCAAGAAGCCAGTTGCTCTCCTGTTGCCTTAGAAATCCTTCTGGAACATTGCTGCTTCCTGTCTGAGCTCCTCTTTTAAAGCCAGGTTTTCTGCCTGCTATCTGAAAGAAACCGATAAAAAAGGAGAAGATAGCAAAGCTCAGGAAAGCACTTAACTGATATGTAAAAGCTCACAGGTGCAACAGGAATGAATGCACATGCCCATCAGGAAAATGGGAAAGGCACTAATGAGTTTCAAGGCTAGACTCTCACTTGTTACTTCTCTCTGAGGGACTTCAAGATTCCTTTTATCAAGGAATGTTTCCTGAAAACTTCTTGCAGAAAGTTTTTTTTTTTTTTTTTCTTTAATCCCTTTGCATTTCAGGTAGATGAGACACTTCATAAGCTGCTCCCTGAGTACTGCTCAAGGGCAGGAGTAATTAGGACTTCAGGGCATGCTGAGACTTCTCAGCTTGCTGGAGTTGCTGGAGCAAAGCCAGCAGCTGAGATGAACCAGCCCTGTGCTGGTGGTGGGATGGCACATCCCTGCCCTACAGAGCTGCCAGCAAGCTGCTTTCTTCTGTATGCAAAGCTGCATGTGGGCTCATTTTGTACTTCCCTCGTTCTGCAGTGCAGACTTCCCCTGGGATCCCAAAACTGCAGGATGAAAAAACTCATCCTTCCTTTTGGCCCCAATCCTGGACAGACATGTGCACATGCTTAGCACTGAGCATGTGAGCAGCCTCACTGATCTCCATGGAGCAATTCACATGCTTGAGCCTCTGCACATTTGGGAGCAGGGGAGAGGAGGACACTCGGTTTTTTGGTTGCCTGCTTTACATACCACTGCTGGAGATCCCACCCAAAAGAGAGCTGCGCAACAGGATGGTGCTGAGCTATACAGCTATTTTTATTTCCATCTCTCGTGGCCTTGCTGAGACCTGCTACAAATTATCAGGGGTATCACACCCCAGACGAGTCCAAACAACAGGTCTTGCTGCAGACTGTCTGTGTTTAGAGGGATGATTTAGTTACTGCTTTCCCCGCACCCCGTCTTCTTCCTTATTCCCATTAGTGACATGCTGGCTGCAGAGAAAAGTTATTCATGCTCTAGAAATGTAATATTTACTCAAAACAATTTTTATTTGGCTTGGCTTCATCCCAGTGCCATAAAGTGATAGCCAACCCCAAGTGCTTACATAGACAACATGTGCATCTGAGTCATATTTATGATCCCCGTTATAAAAAGCACACAACCTTGTTGTTTGGTGCAATAGGATGGGACTGAAGGCATCAGCACGTCTTGAGCATAGCCTGTCTCTGGAATCTGCAGAAATTTGCCATGCTCCAAATTTAGAACTTGTGGGTGGAAGCTCGGTCAGGAGCCAACTTTTTTTACCATTACATCACAGGAATTGAGGGCTTCATGCCAAGGATCCAAGGAAATTAATAAAGAGCAGAGGCTGTCCAGGCTGTTTGAATTTAAAGTCATGGCGGAGAGGTAATTATTAATAAATACAGCTTTATTTGGAACATCATAATCTCGCTGCTGAAATTGAACATATCCCCTCTCTTTACTGCAGCTTACTATTCTGTTAGAACTTGCAAAGACAATAGCAAGGGATTAGTGTCTGTAAGAGAGGGGCCCAGGAAGGCTGGATCCTTCTCAACAGAGGCCACGCTCCAGTGATGCCTCTCCAGCTGAGCACCGCTCTGTGAGCACACACGTTTGCCAGGGGCACCACTGCTCCCATGGCTGCGGGAGGGGGCTGGAACGTGGCAAGCATTCTTCCAGCTAAAACACACAAGGTCTCCAGTAGGCAGGGATCAAAGCCATAGACAGCTAATTTGAAGAGGAATTCAATTTGTTTGACCTCCCTGTGCTGGGGCAGCCAGTGCAAGCTCAAATGTCACAGCCTCCAGGGAGCTGATGGCAAAGCATGGGGGCCACTTACCAAGCACAGGGCAACCTGAATGACCTGCCATCCTGTTTGGGATGCACTGTGTGTGCCCACAGCCCTGGCAGTCCTTGGCCTGGGTGCAGAGTGTGGCTGGGAAAGGGTCCGGCTGATGCTGGGAGGGGGCCACTGCCCTGTGTCCCCACAGACTGTGGAGTCCAGGTCTGCCACACGCCGCTTGCAGCACCTCAGGAGCACAGCACACATGACAGGCACCTTCCCAGCTCCAGTCTGCAGCCCCCAGCAGGACAGGCTCTGCAGGAAAACACCTGGCTCTGCTCACAGAAAGGGGTCAGGGGGTCCCAGGGTTCAGTCTGCCTGCCAAAGGCTGAACACAGACTTGCCATGAAACACACAGCCAGGAGAACACAATAGTGTCTTTGGAAAAGGGGCTCCCCTGATGCCTAAACCACAGAAATGTTGGTATGCAGCTTCAGAGATTTACAGCTCATATTCTCCTCAAGGCTATGCAAAAGCTATGAATAATTAAAAATATGGCTCTGAGTTCTCTAGGAAGTTCCCTATTTCCATTTTACAGATAAACAAACTGAGGTGGAAAGCAACTAAAAGCTGCTCCAGTGGAACCACACTGTCAGCAAACCAAACATCAGAGTTCCCAGGGAGATGCTCCTGCATCCACAGATACCCCCTCGTGCTTGCACATGTATTTCTAGCAGCAGCACATACCAAACAGCTTTATGCATCCATACCACACCAGGAGCCAGCACAGCAAAGACAGGGACCAGCAGCTTCTAATATCCCCTGCTTCTGTCTAAACACACACACAAAATATTAAAAAAAATTATTTAAAACCCATAACCAGCAGGTTAAAAAAAATTTTAAAAATAATCACTTCAACGATGTGGTCACAGGATGACCATTTCCATAATGGAAAGAAGACAGTTAGTGATATGGATAAAAAGCAGAAATCAAGTCAGTTCAACTCAACGATCTCAGAGATCTTTGCAACCTAAACTATTCTACGATTTTAAGTCGCTCTTCTCTTAAATGTGGTGTTTTGAACACACATCGGGTGTTACAAGTAGTCAGGCTGCTCTACATTCAATAGGCTCTATTACTGGACAAACTTCTCGTATTTTACCTAGAAAAATACGATTTCAACCATTCATTCCTGCCAGAGAACCCACAGAGAGATCCTGGCCCTGCTCAAGTACAATGCTATGTATTTTTTCTCCCAGCATGTAGCTGCTCATGCTGGACTGTGTATTTTATGCTTTTGTGAACATCTAAAGATTAAAAACCTCAGGTTTATTAAACATCCCACTTACGGTCAAGAGAAGTCCTCCTGTGACGCATGACTCATGGAGGGAAGCTGGGACACTGCAGTGGGTGAGGAGAGCCTTTGGCTGCTGCTTCCCTGTGGGATGGGAGACCTTTCTGGATTCTTTCTGGGAATCTGGAGTTGGACTTGTGCATGCTGAGAGTATCTTACATGGCCCTGAAGCACTTCTCTGCCTCGACACAGAATAGCACAAGGAGACTCTCAGGAGTGACAATAAAGGGTTTCCCTTGACTGCTAAAAACACCTGCAATACGGGTGCAGGTCCATTCACAAGGATGAATGGACTTCAGTAACTGGATAACCTGAAGAGAACTTTTTAGAAGCAGATATTATCAGGGCAGAAAACATCCCAAAAATTATCACCCAATACTTGCCAGAGCAAAAAGGCAAGAGTCTTTATTACCTACATGAGTGCCCCATGGCAGGTTCAGTTTGAAGAGTAGCCATTTTACCTGTGGTCTAATGCTGCTTGTTAACCCAAAGCTTTTCATTGCATGGTCCCCTTGCGTGAGAGAGCCAGAAATAGCAGTGCCACTGCTCCTTCCACATGTAGATAAAGGTGGAAGGAAAAAAGTCAGCAAAATGAGCATCCTTAAGGTGGGAATATCGACCTTTCAGAGCCAGACAGGGCTGTTCATTGTCCTCAGCCTTCCCTTTCAGATTTTGCAGGACAGTAACCTCACTTCCTGAAGCACTGCATTAGACAAATTATTGTAGTTAGCAAGTGATTCTATGGAAACAGCTGAAATGCTTCAAGTTATAGCCCAACAAATCTCTGACTCCTGGCTAATTGCCAGCTCTCTTCCCACTGAAGTCAGAATCAATCCCTCCTGCCCCATCTTAGAAAAGTTCTTAAAAGTGCAGCGAGCATTTAAAATTTTGGAGACCTTGCCCACTCTTATAACTGGACAAGAGTCAGATTTCCAAAGTACTACTCCTGTTGCACAGAAACTTCCTTCCCAGAAGTCCCTTCATTTCCAGCAGACAATCTCTTATTTCACTAATAGTTCTAGATGCAGCCAAGCAACATCCTATTTAAAAGTCATCTTCCAACAGCAGTAGCAATAAACACATTTGGCCAGCTAATTCACCTTCTGCAGTCATGGAGCTGGACTAACAACCTGCTTTATCTTCGGGCATGTAGCTTGTAAAACCAGCTACAAATGGTAGCACAGAAATATATAAAACATGGAGAAGGGTTTTATGAGACGGTGGGTTTGTGGCTTCTGATTCCAACTTGTTTCCATGAGATTCTTAAAAATCTAGCAGCCTGGAATTAAGAAACCTTGGTTGTGACTTATTTTCCAGCAGTTTCTTTAAAAGATGAGTAATTTGGAAAGCATGGAAAGTATTAGAGTAACTGCTTTGATGTCTTTAATAGAAATTTGGGATGGATTTGAAAGAAATGAGGGAAGTGCGGTTATTTCCTTTTGGAATGGCAGCCTGACATGACTGGTGTTGTTATACAACAAAGTGAGCARAGAGCAGCACACACGCGAGCCCGGCAGCAGCCGGGGAGCTTGTCCTCCTAATCAAGTTTAGATCTGGATGCTGATGGACTCAGCAAACAAACACTCATGTTTATTCTAACAGAATGAACAGAATGTACCACAGAGAATATGACTCACTTTTCCATAGGACGCCTGTCTATTCTCTGAGTTCGGATAAGGAAATATTGCACCTCTCGCTTACAGCTTGTTTTACAAAGTTTTAATGAGCCTGTCCTGGCGAGCTGTCACCCTGCCACATAAAACCTGATTCATTAACCTTTGTGAAAATAAGCGTGGCTTTTGACAGGACACACTGCACTAGGCCCTGCTAAATCAGCCAGCCAGACTCACTCACAGGTGGTTTTAGTCTGGAGTGCTTTCTGAAACGAAAATATGCAGCGAGCCTCAGCAGCATGTCGGCTGTTTTCCCTTGGGTGACAGGGT